CTCCATGGTAGAGTTTGAACAAAGTTGGTGAAACGTTGGCTTAAATCGCGTTGGGGAGACCATTCGCCAGAGACACCGGTCATCTTGCGCCATAATTCCAGCGGCTCGTGGGCGCCACGGCTCATAAAAGTAACTCGGCCAGTCGTTTTTAGCGTAATCCACGGTCCGGGGGGAGCGTTAAAGCCGAGTATGCGGGCCAATTGCGCGAAACAGGGCCCCGGCGTTCGTGTCTAATAACGGTCCTGCGGCCCTGTTCCACGGGCGAACGTCTCCTTCCAGCCGGCGTAACGACTTAGTTAATTAACGTTTACGCGAAACGACCGTGAAGAACCGCGACGAACACGCCGCGCCGGGTGCCTCGCTCCCGTACGCGCTGTTTCCATCGCGGTTGTACCGTTACCGTCGCCGTCGCTATCGGAAATTCGAAACAATGTCGGCCGTGTGCTCGACGTGATAGATGGCCGCCGTGTACCTCGTCGTCGTTTCTGGTACGACGCTCGTTTAGCACCGGTGTCAGCTGCCTCGCGCGTATCCACGGCTAAGGGCGAACGGGATAATTAGCTGGATGCGCCGCTAAAACCGCCGAGTCTGCCACCGAGTAAATGGGATGTAAAGCGAGACGCGGCGCGGGACTAATTTGTGGGAGTCCGCTCTTTCCGTTCCCTTCCCGAGTTTGTAATTAGTCGCTGGGGAGGGCGAGGGAGACGCGAAACACAATCGTTTCTGAATATTATGCACGATTCGATCATAGAAATCCTAAGGGTGCAGGAGTTCTAGCGTCACATATTGAAACTATTCCATTTCCACACAACACAAAGTCCGAGATATTATTCGAGAAATGATTTTATCGTTTCAAAGTATAATAGAAAGGAATTTGTAATCTGCTTTGGTTTACTTTGATTTCGAATATTTGGAGACAGAATCAAGAAGAAGCTTTACTAGCTCTTGGAATAAATAAAAGGAACCCCGATAATGGCGGTGAAATTAGGGGATGATGCTGCGTGAGAAAACAAGTCGAAGGATTTCAAGAAAATGGTCGTAGAAAATTGACTGGGTACGCGCGAGACAGAGTGTGACTCGGACATCAGCATAATAAGTAGAAACGGTGAATAATGGACAGACGCGCGATAGGCGATTCGTATTCAAGCGCACGCGTGCCCCAGAAATTTTCAAATTCAATTATCTCGAGAACGAAGTCTCGCACGAGGAAATTCCATTTTACGTTTTCGATTTATTTTTCCCTCGAGGAGAGAAAGACCGTTCGACGGATATTTATTTTATGCTAGTTTCGACGAACGGTGCCTCGATTCGTTCCAACGACGAAGTCTGTGCAAGATGGGATTAGAATGGGAAAAGAAATGGAACGATGTTCGCTTCCTGTTCACTTCCTATCGCCGGACTCGCAAGAATGTACAAACGCACGGGATTGACTACTTCGTACAGATGTTGTAATCTTGTCAGCTTTACCGTAACTAATTTTGATTGTGCCACGAGCGTTTGCTCGCGATTGACGGTGCTTGACAGGAAGTTGAATGACAAACTCCTTCTTTTTGTACATCTCGATTCGTACCGCTCGATGGAAGCGTGCTTTCCCTTTCCTGTATTCGCACAGCTCTAACTGTTGATTGTGTGCGTCGCTGTGCGACTTGGAAGTGCGGAATCACTGTGTCACCAAGAGAGCTGAATACTCCATCGAATAGAAAACGATTTTATACTTGGGAGATAGTTTTCTTCCCTTAAAATTTTCCAAATTCGCCTCTATGAAGTGCAATAAATTTTTTTCACAATTTGTTTTGCTATAGGTTTAAAGTAAAAATCATCCCCTTTGCAATGCCCCCTTAAAAGTTGACGTACGATTTTTTTTTAACGTGATGCGTGTCGCTTCAAGATTTATCCAAAGTCTCATCTCGTGTGTTATTACTAAACTGGAAATTTTTATGCAAATCCATGTTTTTATTAATAGAATTAACAAATGGGAGCTTTGTAAAGGATTGTCTGAAGCTCTAAATATAATAATTCGTATCTCACTCTAAGTATTTCTTATATTTTTGTATATCAAGTGCATTTTGTAGTTTTTTTGAGACTTAAAATTTCCCATAAATGCATAAATATCCACAGTCTAGTTATTACAGTTTATGATCCTGGGTTACTTTAACGCGGACGATACATAACCTAAACGCTCTGTCGCGCGGTCGGCGGCATAATGAGTCCTGCACACCTATGTCTCACAGCTACACAACACCATCAAGCGTGTTGGTCGCGCGAGAAAGAGTAAGCGTGCCGAGAAGGGGAAGCACGAAGCGTGCCATATTCCCCTCGAGCAGTACGAATCTACCGACAATGAGTCGGATGCAGTCCGTGTGGACGGGGCGGAGTTAGTTTATCTATTTCTATTTGTTCTGACTCGCGAGGTAATGTACGCGCGAGAAAGTTCTCGTGTTTGTTAAACGAGCACGTTGTACAATAACTGTCATTACAAACACCGAGAAAAGGCGCTCTTCGACCCGTTCTCCAACCGTGCCATCTATGCCGGAACTCCCAGAACATTTAACCCTCTGATTCCATTTTTCAAGTCCTTGTTTAGTGATTCCACAAACTGACTGGGCAAATTATTTATTGAAAAACATCAACTTACGATTTTGAAAGAGACAATTTGTATAGTTTAAATTTTGCAACTACACGAAGAGAGAGATTATGTATCGCGTTGACTGCCAAACCAAAACCTTTATCTCAGTAATTATTTTCGTGCAACTGGAGAATTAATTGCTTTAATTCCATAATGAGAGGTCCCTGTCAACCATTATGTAGACGGCGCAATGGTTAGAGCATTAACCAACCGAATAAAATAATTTCCGGTCCATCGAAGTTCGAATTCCCAGATCGCGGAGCAGAATATAAAGACTCCGCAGTTGGCGTTTCGCCGCTCCCAAACGCATCGAACGCGAATTAGCCTCGTCCATTCGACGCGAATTCCGCGCATAAGAAGCATCCAGCGCTAAATACGCGGAGTTCCCGGTTCCGGATAAAGAGCACAGTAATCAAAAAGCAGGCAAGGATTCCTCGTATTTATGAATCGCGAAATTCCTCCATAAAATCCAAGGACTCGGCTCCTCCCGCGGCCTCGATCTACGTCGAACCCGATCTCTGGCTGCGTCTCGTTCCCTCCCGCGGTGGATCGCGCGAAGAAGACTGGTCCGCGTTTGCGTGCAAGAGATGCATTAGAGCGCTGAATATTTCATTCATAAGCGGACCCGTGCAATCGCCGTATTCCGCGAACGTGTACAGAGCGGAGGGACGCTCGTAGTACGGTGTGAGTGGCCGCACGAACGCAGCCAGCTAAAGCGTGCAACGCCGCGCCGGTTAAGTTGCAGTAGTTGCAGCTGCAATTACGTCCGTGCTCCCTCCCCCTGATGCCGTGAATGAAACGTCTATCCTCCTTTTTTTATTCCTCTTTCTTCTTCCGCTTCTTCCGTGCGTTCCGTTCCCCCACTCTCGACGATCGCGGATCTTTCTCTCCGTATCGCCAGCCTCCCGGTTCCTCGTCTCCGCCTCTGCTTGTTTCAATCCGCGCTGACTTTCTGCGGAACAGAGGTTTAATGAGCGAGCGTCGCGCCGTGTGGCGTTCCGCGTCGTTGAGGATGCACCTTGTTGCGCTTCGCGACGCGCGCCGCAAGATTCCCGACCGCGATCAGAGATGCCAGACGGAGACCCGGGTGCACCGGGGACACCTCATTCCACTTTCTCACACTATGCCAGATCACGCGTACGTGAGCTCGTAGAGTTTTGGAGAGTCGACAAAGGCAAACTGACGCATGACCTCTTTCTTACAGGCCTCTGCTGACCATTGCTGATTACTGCTTATCACTCCTAATACTTCTGACAACGTAAAAAGATTACTACTTGCTACTACTTGCCTCTGCTGACCACTGATGACCACTCCTGATAATTCTGGCAACGTATAGCGATTACTACTTGCTACTACTTCCCCCTGCTGGTCTCTACTAGCCTCAGATTGCCTCCACTGTCCTTTGCTGCCTCTTGGGGGTCTCTGCTGGCTTCTGCTGGCTATTGCTGACGACTCCAGATATTTCTGACAACATACATATACCTATTGCTATTGGCTACTGCTAGCACCTGCTTGCCTCCCGCTGTCCTCTGCTCGCCTCTGATGTCCTTTGCGTGTATCTGCTGGCCACTGCTGATACTTCTGACATGATATATACTTCTGAAATATTATACACGTTAATTTGTATCTTACAAAAAGTACGACCACTCGGGAACAAAAAACCGTACATCAACTTTTAAGGGGCCGTTGTAAACAAATTTCATCCCCTCCGTGAAGTCGACCGAATTTGGAAATAGCTTTTCGCCACGCAGTCGTTCTATTGTGAGGCATTATATGTTTAACAATTGCGTTTAAAAATCGAAACCCGATGCCCACGCATTCCCCATGACAAACTCGTTCCAGAATAGCCGCGTTCGACCCTCGACCCACGTGGAAACGAGCCTCAAGGTCGCGTTTCACGGCGTTTTCTATTGTGCTTGGTACGCAAGTCCAACGTCCATATAATTCGAGGAATATTTCAGTGCACACGTACGAAAAGTATCGAACCGTTGGTCTGCCTAAGTACTTCCTGCCGGAAGTGCTTTTAATTAAGCTAATTAGAGTACGTAAAGAGGTGTTTCTCTTCTGTCTTAAGGTGTTCGGATCAAATTTATATGAGTTGCTGGAATAATATGAACGCTGACCGAATGGAAAAGGCCTGAGAGAGAACGTTCTTCCATGTAATAGAACTGAGACTCGAGATGGAGCCATTCGAATACCTCTCCTCAATAATAGGACTAGAATAATTCTGGGTTGCCTTTTTATTAAATTATTTATTAACTTATATTTAAAAACAATCCTATGCAAATTATAAATATACAGAAACATTGGATTTTGACCACGAATTATCGTTTTCTAGCCCGATGTGCTGACGAGACCTGTTTTCTGCTTTCAGAACTTCCGCGAGCATCGCATCGACGGAGCAGCGCTGCCGCTGCTGTCCGAAGACCACCTGACGGGCCCAATGGGTATGAAGCTGGGCCCTGCTCTGAAGCTGCGTGCCCTGCTGGCCCGGAAACTAGGCGCTTGCACGGTGTGCTTGCACTGCGCGCACTGCCACCAGACGCCGCTTCCGGCGTTGAACGCGGCTGCGGCCGCCGCGGCGGTGTCGCAGCAACAGCACCAGCAGCAACAACAACAGCAACAACAGATGCCCGGCAGACGACCGAGCAGCACGGGGAACTGACACATAGTGGCGGGGACTCCACTCGGTCTGCAGAGCGCGTCGACGCCCTCTTCGGACCCGAACAGGGCTCTCAGGATAGAACGGCGCGTACCGCGACCGATACGCAAGCCGGAAGTCATCTTCAAGAAGCCCATAAAACAGTGACGCGGTACCACGCGAGATTCACCCCGTGTGACGATTAACCGCGGACGCTAGTGTTCCGGAGGCTCCGCCTGTTGTTTTAGTGTTCGTTTCGAGACTCAGAGAGTGGGGGGAGAATTTTGGAGTAGAGAACGAAAGGAGGAAGGACGAAAACGAGAATCTGTCCGTTGCAATCGAGTACCTGGATAAAACGGCTGCGAAGGATCCTCGACTTTGGTGGCGATACGGTGACTCTTTGGCGCGTTGTACTTAGATTACCGGAATCCTCGGAAACGGATAGTTGGAGGAAAATCGCGTACGTAGGTGAGAGAGGACAATAACGTTCTATATATATATATATTTTTCAAGCGAGCAACTCGCAATTCGATCCGAAAATGATCGTCGCTCATCTTTCGAGACGATCGTCGGACGCGGATGCTCCGGGTGCCTGAAACGAACGTAGTTCGTAAACTGATTTAGATTTCGTTTAAGAAAGGACTGCCGGCGATGCAGGTAATCGAGAATCCGTGTTGAAGGTTCGAACGCGATCGACGATCTTGAAAGACCTGTATTGCTGGTCGGGCTTCTAGATCTCGGCAAGACGAGGCTTTTCTGTATTTTTTTTTTTTATTCTTCTTTCAGCCAGGAGGAAGCGGAGGGTAACTAACAAGTGTTAATGTTGTTGCGTTGCCGCTGAATCCGGGTATAAATTAGAAATAAACACGCGATCGGGGCTAAGACGCTGACGCTGTATAATAACCGAATTAATTGGCTGTAGCGCGTTCGGGGCGAAAAATTCAACCGATAACGCGATACGCGCGCCTGCGTGCCCGCATTCATTTCCGCGGCTAATTCAAATTACATCCTCCCGTCGAAGAACCGTACGCCGAGGCCTGACCAACCGGAATTACACGTTCGATCGATCGTCAATAATTGCCGCGTTAGAACGCGAGATCGATCAGGTGTGGTAACGAGATCGAGGATAAATGGAAACGTTAGAACCGGAAGGAGTTTTCGAAGCGAAACGCCCGTTGGTCGTGGTCGTTACGGCCGTCCATCGACGGGAGAAATCATTTCGAGGATCAACGAAACGAGTGCCTATATTCAGAAAGTCTTCCATTGGCTGGCCTTTCTTAGAGAGAATGCCCATCGAGCGAGTCGGTGATTGTTTTGTGATCCGTACGCAACGACTCGTTGAAATTATCCCCGCCCCCGCAACGGTTGCTGTCCTTGTTATCCGAGATCGACAGTCTCACAAACACGGAGACCCGTAAATTATTCGAATTTTTCCACGTTCGAGGAACACGTGATTCGTAATACGCGTACGAAGCGAACGAGTGTTTCTTTTTTTTTTTTTAACGCTGCAACGAATAACATTTCCAGCACCGATGTTCATCGCTATGTAACACTTGCTCTTGCGTGACTCTCTAATTTCAGTTTTTAACTATAACCGAGAACAGCGGCGTCGAGTTTAATTGCACCTGAAAAAGCGACCGTGTCTGAATTTGTATTTCTACCGTATTTTGTAGCGAGCTTCATTATATGCAATTTTCGATTCGAGCCAGCATTTTATAACGGTACGGACCGCGTTCGCTGCCGGCGGGGAACCGTATGCAACGAGATAAATTAGTAAATTAGTCGCGGGGAATTCGAATAATTTTACGAACCGAACGATGACAGCGGCGAAGAGAAAACGGGAGGGGGAGGGGAAAAAGAATTAAGAAGCGTGCTCTCGTGTACATATCGGCGAGTATGTATTAAATTGTTGTTTGCGTGGACGAATGAGAGAAGAATCGCGTGAAACGGGGGGAAAAAGAGACAACATTTTATTAGCGAAAATTTATGTGCAATAAAGGAACGTTTCGATACGGTACTTTTAACTATGATAAGAGATACGTATTTGCTCAAATCGTTGTTTCTTTTATATATTTTAACGAAGTTTTTACATGAATGAATTATAATGATAAATATACTAAATTATATTTTTGCTAGCGTTCTACGTGCAAAAAGGAGTCAGCTCCGCACACGTATATACATTCATAAACGTACACGTGTACGCTTACACAGACACGAACATACACACACACGCCTACACACACTCGATACGTAGCAAACGATATAGATTTACGAGCGACGGAACCGTAATATAAATAGTTTAGAAGAATTGTAAATTAACTTTTTTTTTTTTCTTCTCTTATTTACAACGTTTGACGTTTATTTATTTAGGAGTAAACCGTTGCCTTATTGTATTCATCGTATAACAATTAAGATGTAAAAGAGATGTCCTAGGCGAAAAGGTCGGAGACAGTGTTGCATCGTGAAGTTGGTAAGTTCGTAAAAATGAGCAGTATTTTTAGATTTACATTAGCCTGAATTTACTGCAGACTATATACGTTTATAAATGTTATGTACACATACACTCACACGTGCTTCCAGTTTCGTATTCCGTCGGACGTTGGTCGTTTATTCGTCGTATCCGCGGCAATTTCTCTCCGACGCGATACAATCAGGTAATTTTCATCTCGAACATTAACCACGAACGTTTCGAAAGTTTTTATTCGGTGAATAAAACTCATTGGAACAGAAGAAACAATCGTTCATCGAATTTTTCAACGTCGCGTTCGATACGCAAATTGACGTTTTTCTGATTTCCTGCATTCGTCCGGTCATTATTTACGTTTAACGAGATTAATAATCGCAACAGAAACTTGGAAGGCGCGCGCGGACATTAATCGAGCTAGCGGCTTTTACTTAAACCGAGATCACTGTACATAATGCTTGAGCATTTATTTATATCATGCTTTCACAAGAGGACCCGTAGTATTTTATTTAGTTTCGTAGCCGGGGTTCACCATTACTGCGTCGCACGAGATCATTTCATTATCGGGCAGCAGAATCGCTCGTACCGGAACAAGTGAAAAGAAGAGATCGAACGGAATGTGTGTGTACATGTGCGAAATGAAGCAAAAAGGATATCGAAAAAAATAAAAATAAAATGAAAGAAAGTACTTTACACGGCGAGCATTGAAAGTGAGAGAGAAAGTAGCGTGGAATTATTTAATGGAAATATAAGAGTATTGTACAGGAAAAAAAGATGAACGAAACGAAGAAGAGGGACGAAAGAACGGGCGATAAGGCAATCTTGTGATACTTCGATGTTCTTCCACCCATTTTTCACCCTTCGTCTCCTTCTGCGACTAATTTTTACGATTACGTTCAACCGTCAACCTTTCACCCCCTCCACCCCGATCCTTCGGCACCCCTTTTTTATTTCTCCATCGCGAGTCTGTCGTGTATTATTCTACGAGTAACTGTCATATTATGTATAGTAGAAATTAATGGTGAAAAGAGAACAAAAACAGTACATTGTTTCTGTTAAAATAAACATTGTTGAAAAATAGTCACCGTCTATGATTGTCGTCTGCCCATTCAGTTCGATTGCAGGTACGATTGCAGCGGGATTGTTCGAAACATATGTCAAGTAACGATTGCAGAACGAGTTTACGATTTCTCGACGCTACAGGTGAGTAACTTTTTTTGATAAGGAGATAGGAATCGATATCGATAAGTCGTTGTTCCAGATTTGGGTCTTAGAATCGAATGACGATTTATATCACGATTTAGATCACATCATTTTTATAAAAATACGAATCAAAACATAATTATCTCGGTATTTTTATCGTGTTTCTCTTCTGGCTGTCCGCCCACGCGATGTTCCTTTAACCAACTCGGGCCTGGAAAATATAAAATAATTTTTTACGCTTTCAGAATACCGTTTTCTTCGGATTACACGTTTTTTAATCTTGCAAAGAATCGATGTAAGTTTAATATTGACTAGCGTGAATGAGAAGTAGCTTACGTTCTTATGAATAGCAAGGAATCCGTCATCTTCGCGTTTCAAGATCTCGACGCGAACGTTGCCGTCCTGTTGCACCGTGACGACTTTCCCGGTGCATTTTCCGTTCTCCAGGCTCCCGGAAGCCACGTCACAGTACGTACCGGGCGACAGACAGGCCTTGATCGTCGCAGTCATGTCGTATTGATCGCCGTTGAACGCTATGAATCCAGCATCGCCGCGACAGAACGCGATCTGGTTGCTGCCATTGTCCCACCAGCTCGAAACCGTCGTTCCGCGTACAGCGTTCCGGAAACGCACCATATTGTAAATCTGTCGCCAACGATGCTCGCAGATCCAGCCGCCGCTGCAGGTATTGTCAGGGTGAATAATGGGGGACGTGATGCGTTCCTCATTGTCCATCGGCGGACCTTGATTAAAGTCCTCGAAACCGAACGAACTCATCACTCGCGGTATTCCGTAATCTTGAGCCAGCATAAAAGCCACCGCCATCTGCAAGATTTCGATCGAGAAACGTACAAATCGAGAATCACGATCTCCTTCCTTGCTCTTTGCAAATCATTTTTTTTTACAGTGTTAATCTTAATCCTTAAGTGGACTCTCAAACTCAACTGAATTATTTTACATAATGTTGATTCTTATCAAATTGGTAAATGGAAATCAACCTTTATATAACAACTATTATATAAATTTTCAAATAATTACATTGACATATATTAAATAATTGTTAGTTTAAACTTGCGGTGGGCCGCAGCAGCCCCAATGATCCACTTAAGGGTTAAATGAAATTTAGAATATTTTTATTCGTGATCCTATACGAGAATAATAGTAATAGTACGAATAGGAAGCATACTGTGAAAGTCTATTGAAATCAAATTTGATTCTGTCTACGAAATATCGAAGGATGAAGATTATGATTTCAAAAGTGCCTACGATACGTAAATATCTATTGAAAATATACATAACAATGTTTTCTAATAGAACGTGATCGTAAATAGAACCTTGCACTGCCATTGCATTTGGAACGCTAAAACAGAAGCTTCAACGCAGTAGATTTATTCCGACGTCTGACTAGAAACAGACTCATTCTACTAGATTGCGTATAGAAGAAAAATTGCTCAGTAGTAAGTACTACCTTAATAAATCTTGTTATATCGAACTTTGGGAACGTTTTGTATTTTATGGGATCCAACAAGAACACATCGAAGCCGTGTTATTAAATAATTAGGTTTAGTATAACAATGTAACTAAAAGAACGATAGAAAAATAGCCTCTGGAATGATTTCTAAATTAATGAGGTAAGACACAGTTGTCTATTGTGCACAATTTATTCATGCACATTCGTTCCAGCCTAACATGATTATTAATATATTTTTAATATTATCAAATTCTATTTGAATCATCCACTATTATCTTCCCGATAGAATCGTCGTACGTAATATCAAAAGAAACGAGTAATTGATTTTCCTATCCAGTATACTCGAGGCTCCGTATTTAAATTGAAGGCATCTAAGTTTATTAAAAATACCTTGTACTGTTTTGGCGACTTGTAGGTGAGCACGTTTATGCTATCAGAGCGTTGGGTGTCGTGGTTGTCGACGAAAACGAGCGCGTCGGATGACGATAGAAGACTCCATTTTTCTCCCCAGTTGGAGAACCATTTTAAAAGATTGTTGCCACGGAAAGAATTGCTCAACTCTGACCCGTGTTTGAATTCCGTCACCGCGGCAATGGCGGTGTATTCGAACTTCGAGACAGCCTCGTGGCTTCCGTAATCGATCACTTCTTGGAATATAAACGGTCGAGCGTTCGCTGGGAAACCGTGCTCCACGCTCAGATTATTCAATCTGGAGTAAATCGTATTCAGATCCTCTGGCCACATGTGCTTTGCAGCGTCCATACTGAACAGAATACGATAAAGAAATTAGGTCGATACGAATTCAGTTCTAATTGCAAGATTGGAAAGGAAGTTCTAACAAAAATAAAAGTTCTTTTTTAAATCTCAATGACCCCTTAAGATTACTGTACCGAAATCCTGCTACGCCCATATCAATGGCCTCGTTCATAAAGTCCACGATCTTCCCTCTAACGTACTCGTAGCCTTGGTTCAAGTCATGGAGGCCAGTCAGCTCGCAATTTCGTACGTTCGCGGCGTCGTTGTAATTAGTGATCGAGCAACGCGTATGAAAATCATTGTCCGTGTAGGGTACCGCATAATAGTTGCGCGTGAACGTGTTTGCTCTAGAGTTTCCAGTGCCTATTGCGTTCTCCCTGTCAGCGGACATGTGATTCGCGATCATATCGATGTAGATTCGGACGCCCACCGCGTTGCATCTGGTTACCATATCTGCGAACTCTATTTTCGTGCCAGATCTCGTGTTCCAGAGATAAGACATTGGCTGATAGCGTTCCCACCATGGCCTGTTTGGGATCTTCAGGTTCTCCTGGGCTGGTGACACCTGTAAAGGTACGATTCAAATGCCTGGTACAGTACAAAATTGATTTATTGCAAGAAACGATTCATTATGATTTTATGAAATGATGTGGCCCATATGAGCATCTTCAAGATTATTCTCGTGATGATCAGTGCTTAAAGAAACAATGTTTAAAAAAAAATGTTTAGATACTGCAGGATTTATTTTCTGAGCTTTGGTTCCCCAAATATCAAATTACTGGAAAAAACCAGGATTTTTTAAACCATCGAAATATTGACCCCTTGCCTTATAATGATGAGCCTGATCAAGTCTTATTATTAAAATCGTATTCATAAAACAAATCTATTCTTTTCTATGGGGACTCCTTTTACAAACAAACAAAAAATTAAATAGTATACGTTTGAAGAATTATTTTAAATTAAATCGTACGCCCAGGGGTTAATATACCAAAGAATGTAACCTATCGATGTAGGAAACCTTTGTATTATACAATGAAGATATTATTGTTGAGGTTGAAAAATGGTCATTCCTTTAACGAGCAAATTGACACAAAATTAAATAGTATACGTTTGAATAATTATTTGGAATTAAATCAAACGTCAGAGGGTTAAAAATACCGAAAATGGTGGCCGATTTACCTGTACTCCTCCGTAGCCGATGGGACCCAGGAAGTTTTCACATTCTTTGGCGATGTCCATCCATTTCCACTCGAAAAGATGGACCATGGTGTCATGGCCTGGTGCATAATATGGATTCTTGTGGGGACTGTCGCCCGCTGTCACCGAGAGCACGGCCAACAAAGTCACGATTAACAACATCGCAGCAACTTACGTATTGCAGTGATCGAACCCACAATATATATCCACGCGTTGTTACGTCACCGCCATCCGTCATGCATCCAAAGATTAATTTCTTCCACCAGCCGTCTCTCGTCAATGATTTTATTTTTTAACGGATAACAACGATCGTATCTTCGCGTTCACGTTATTTATCGTTGCGTGGGAATAAACACAATACGAGAAATCGTAACAATTATATCTGCAGAAACATCTGTCGATCCCATTGCGAGCACAATATTTTCTTTCTCGAAGTCAATCTGTTTACCGAAAATCGTTTCAATCGAATTCGTTGTTAGAGAACCCCGATCGAACTGTTGGGAAATCGTTTTACACTCCACGCATAGTTTAGTCTACAGAGGCGATAGTTCGTTTGTGTACACCGTAAATCATCTGTCCCCTTCGTCACTGAATACTGTAATTGTTGACGTGGGTGTGGTGCTGATCGACCGTTTCCATTCGACGAGAATTAATCGAACACTCTTTCGTTTCTTAGACTTTGAACGAACGCGGGAAAAGAAGTCGCGGGTATCTCGTATCGATGCATGCGTGCAGAAAAATCATAACAAAACGAAGAGTACGCTGGAATTTATGTGCCGCCGCGTGTAACGATGTATAACAATCACTATAGATAGATTATCACTTTTAGACGTTTACGAAGTACTGTCTTCTCGCTTTGCGATGCAAAGTTATATTTTTGTCATATTTATCTATTCGATTTAAAAAAATCGAAGAATCTCTGAGATTTATACTTTGAGTTGCTCGAAGAATTTGTCTCTGATGTAATGCTTGATATCGCGTTGCCTTCGTATCGTTAATAACAAATCTGCTTCTTTCTCGTGCTGATAATCCACTGATAATCTCACTCTCTCTGTGATTGAATATAATTATGTAATTCATTATCTTTGTCAAGCATGGAATGCGTAAATATTGTGTTACGTTGTTATTTTAACAAGCTCGCTAATTAAATAGGAAATATATAGCTATGTTATCGAACATTCGTTTTTCTAAGATTTAGCATGTCTTGTTCCTGTTCACCATGTATCTAAATATCATGGTTCTATGGAGCTATCTATTGATTTTTCTCCATAGACATATGTATTTACATTTATTCGATAACATACAGCGTATTCGGCCACCCCTGGGAAACATTTTAATGGGAGATTCTAGAGGTCAAAATAAGACGCAAATCAAGAATAGCAATTTCTTCACTGAGGCTTCGTTAAAGTTACTACAAAATTAAATTACAAAATTTCAAATCATTCACGGAAAAATCATTTTCGGTTGCGGGGGTTAATTACAATCATTTTTGGTCAACAGATATACCCCTGAAATCCTACCCGCATTCGAGAAAAAAATTCGAGTAGGTGTGAAATTTTTCGGCGAAAAAAAATTTCAAATCGTTCTAAAAAAAATTATTTTCAGTTGCAGGAGTCAATTACAATCATTTTTGGTCGATAGACATACCTTCAATATCCTTTGCACTTTCGAGAAAAAAATTCAGGAAGGTGGACAAATTTTTTACAATCATTTTTTATGAATACACATACCCCCGAAATTCTACGCACTTTCGAGAAAAAGTGACTGTATGTACAATTTATTATACAATTGGAATATCACTCATAGCAAATGACTGCTTATATTATATTTCTGTTTAATTCTGTATCAAATCCAGTGTGATCTGTTTCCAGTCCTGTCAACATTCTTTCTAGCGCAATATTATCACTAGACTGCAGATGTTTATGCATTTACAGGAAATTTTAATTCTCAAAAAACTGCAGAATGCACTTAACATGCAAAACTATAAGAAATACTTATAGTAAAATACGAATTATTATATTTAGGGGTTGGGACGACCCTCTACAAAATTCATTGATTCTATTATCAAAAAATATGAATTGGTATAAAGATCAACAATTCTAAATATCTGATATATGTTGTTTCTATTATATATCTGTTTCGTTCTGCGTCAAAACTGGCATGGTCTGTGCTTCCAATCCTCTCAACACTCTTTGTACGCAAGTATACAAAACGTGGCATCGTTTGGACCAACACTGTGCGTATTTACCGCATGATTAGCTGTCGTCCATCCCGGAAAAGCGTGCCAGACGAGCTTGCAGGGGTTCAATAACGCGAAAAGACGCATAAAATTAATTGAGTCGTCCGTCCGCGGCGGTAATTATCGCGTTTTATCGATAATCCCTATTCCGGGGCGCGGTGGATGCGCATTCCATCGGTTAGAAGTATGCAAATGAGAAGGAGAAGGACGGAACCGTAGGGACGGTGGTCGAAGACTGATGACGTCTGGCATTAAAACCAGCGAGTCGCGCTGGGGCAGCATCGACAGTGGCTGGACTCGTCTGGTAGCATTAATAAATGAGGGACATCAGCTTTTAATTACGCGCCTCGCTCGTAATTGTAACCTGCAGCGAAATCGTATGGGTCTGGGGCCCGGGTAGTTTACAAGCAGAAGAGCGATATACGCGTCGTCCGTGATAACGGGCAGAGCTTCTCCGTAGCACATCGTCCGCGGCTGATCCCGAACGCAGGGAGCCCCGATTAACGATCGCTCGTAATTACGCCGAGCGGACGATCGCGAACCGCGCTTGCCCTTTCACGGGGGCCCTACACTCTAAAACCGCCGGAGATATTTGACCATCGTCGGGAATATTATCGCCGGTTAACCCCCCGTAACGGGAACCTACACTCCAGCCTCCGTCGGCGATGATGTAATGGCGCAATTACGCCGCCGATCGTTTGGACAGGGACTTGAAATATTGCCGCGGCTTACCACGGGGAACCACCGTTCCCTATCTTCCGCCGAATGCTTTTCGTTACTTTTGGAAACCGTGTTACAACCCGCCAAACCCGTTCGTCGGTCGATAGAGTCTGGCTGGGAGGCAACTGTGTGCCCCCGGATTCGACGTGAAGCCACTGTTCCACTTGGGAAATCAAATTTGATACTATTGGAGACTGTTGTTCTTTATTAGCATGAGAAAACTCCAGTTATGTACGATCTGGTAAAAGTAACTGGGGGTCGATTCAATTAGTGAAATTGGTAAAGTTAATCTACTGTAAAAAGAGTCTTTCTTTCTTTATATGATGACAAGTCCACTTATGTACGATTTGGTACAAGAACTAGGGGTCAATTGAATTACTGAAATCGGTAAAGGTAGTCTACTCTAAAAAAGTCTTCCTTTCCTTATACAATGTACAGCTCACTTATGTACGATTTGGTACGAAAACTATTACTAAAATTGGTCAAGTTAATTTACTTTAAAAAAGTCTCCCTTTCTTTCTACGATGTACACGGTTGCTATTATTATCAATCTCATCCGAAACTTAGAGAAACTATTTTAAAACAAGAACTACCGAACTTGTCAAAATTCGTAATTTCTAATAAAAATTGTTACAAACTCGACTGGATTTTTGTAAAACCGTGGTTTTTCACAAGAGAATGAATAAAAATTTATTCCCATCGCATTGTACATTTCTTCACTATCGTTTTAATTTCTTTGGTACAAATAACTACATCATAATTGATGGTAGTTCTAGAGTGAAATTCGCAGCCATTAGCTCGGTGTTACCCACGAAGAAGAACTTTTCCTATCGTGGGTAACACCGATTACCAGGTCTCACCACGAAGAGGTTGCTGCGACTGGAGACCCGACAGGAGGTAGGTGAAATCCATGTTCCATCGATCTCCTTCTCACACTTTTAGATTACTAAACTTAGGAGATAGAAGGACTCGAAAGTTCCTTCGAAAGAGGGAAAAATTGTAGGAGATGCGACGCGACGCGATGCTGAATCGTGTGGCGGATCTTTGGATCGAATCTACTGCCCTTGCTAACTCGATCTTAATAGGAAAACGGATGCTGAAACTCTGAATCGAGGTCTCCATTTCTCCAACGCAACCCGTCGGGACCCCGAAGGACCCGACTTAGGCTGTCTGACAAAGAGAGAGTTCCTGAGACAAGGTCGACTTCCGCTGGAAGGTGTGCATTTCCGCAGAAAACGGAAGCTCCACACCTTCCAGCGAAGAACCATTTTCCCTCGATCGAGCCACCAAGGGAAGGCGATTAGATCTTTTTGACCAACTGCACGGCCGATCATATGTTTCGTTCGATGAAACAATGGTGATCGAAGCAAGGAACGAGAGAACGAGTTAAAAAGAAGCTACTTTTGTTACAATTGATTGGCAGAGTAAGCTGTGGCCTTAGTACTAACTTAGTCGAAAGTTAAACTAATTAGTCTAAAGATCCCTCAGCGGATGACGATGTCTTCTGTGATGTCCTCGCGATGAATCCTGCACCTAAACTGAAATCTAATTTAAGAACATAGACAAGTAAAGTTCAATTATATCAATGAAATAATATATCATATTACAAATCTACTAATATTACACATAATGAAAGTATCATACGAATTTCAGAAATAATGTGAAAATAGTTATTTTATATATCTGAGCAAAGAAAGAAATAGTCTCAGAGACGAACAGAATAGAATAAAAATCTTATTCTAATTCGTATTATCACAATTCGTGAAATAGTATGGAAACAAATGCGGCACATGAATCAATACGTAAAATAGCAAACGATTGGAAAAAGTATATATCACCTGAAGGACTATCAAAATTTCAGAGACGAACAGATTAGAATATTATTCCAATTAGGAACTCCAAAATTCACGAAATAGTTTTGAAACAAATATGATACACGAATCGACACAATATTTCACTATTTCGATATACTTATCAAAACAATTATACCGATTCGAAAAACAGTGCAAAAGTTGAAATAGAGAAAAGAAGCGTTCACAATGATCAAATAAAACCAAATAGACAGGTAAATTTTGTATTAATAATATAAATGAGTGGAGTGGACTTACTACTTGTCGACAATTAGTTACCAGTGGCCATCAGTTAGGGGTCAACTGTAAAGAAAGGAATAGTTCGTAATATAACAAAAGCTATCGGAAAGTTAAATAGAGAAAAATTGGTATCAAACAGTAAAATAGAAGTGGGGAGAGGAATTTTGAATAATTCTTACTGGTGGTCATCACGGTCCGGCACTAGTCAGTAGTGGTCAGTACTGTTCAGCAGGTTACCATTGGTCAGTAATGGTCAGTACTGGTCAGCAGTGTCCAGCAGTGTCCAGCAGTGTCCAGCAGTGTCCAGTAGAGGTCACCAGTGGTCAGCACACGCTAATAGCCAGAGGTAAGCCCTGCGAGACCCGATCCCCCGGACGGTTTCGGGGGTACTAAAGGATTTCGACTTCTGCAGATCTACTTATGTCACTGTGAAAGATGACGGAAGGGTGGGGAGACGCAACGTCAAAGTTGACAGATTGATCTATAGAATTATTTCACCGGACCTCTGACCATGGTGTCAACTTCACTGTCGATCATCGAATAACCAATGACCCTTTAAAACCATCATGAAGTTAAAAATTAATTAACTAACCCATACAATTTGATACATGATCTTTTTAACATTTTCTTTCACTTTGAAGGAGTGTATCTTCTGTTATACGACACGCATGGTATAGAAGCTGAACTTGTATTTCGATCAAAACTTGGAAATAAAAGAATAAATTGTATACGACATATATACGTATAATTTGGGATTATACTTACCATTACATACTAGATCCATGCTTATTCTAATACTTTTGAGCACCTTTTTATAATCGTAAAGAACACCAAGAAATTCACCAATGCAGTACTACTCCTAGAATGATTGTTGACAGAAACTGTGATGGGGGTCTAAAAGTTATATTTAATCATTTTATTCTTTGAAGATGGTCATGTTAGACTCGAAATCGTCCTGCTAGTGGACACATCAGTAAGACAACCATAGACACTGGATCATTCAATGGTCACACGAGCAGTATATATAGGAATAGGTGGTCTGTGGAGTACTTCTGAGAAAAGTATATGTTGCATACTTTCTCAAAAACCTTGAAACGCCATTAATACCAATTACACTAAGGATGAGGTTTTCGAAAACGTTGGAATGACACTGCCCACGTATCCTTCGCATCGCGCTCTCCTCTCTTTATTTGAACTCATTTTGGCTACAGAATATCACAACATGATAGAGATCGAACTTTAGATAGAATTGCACCGATCGCTGGGGAACCGATCGACGGAATCGAAACGCCTGTCAGCTGTCGTACGTTAGCTACCATAATTGCTCGGAAACGTGGGAAATCGACTCGTATCGGTGTCGCGGGGACAAAGATAAACCTGTATCGCGTCGGAAAATAATCACGCTCGTTTCGTTCGCTGTTTAAAACACGAGTAACGGTGAATTTTAACAGGCGGTTACGAAGAAACGAGATGCAAAAATAAAGATGCTGGCTCGCGAATGGCAGTTAAGCGGTATTCGTCGCTTCGATTCGACCGATACAGCTCCGTCGCGTGTTCGATTTAACACTGCAACGTGTAGCTAGCGCCATTAGGCTGCTCAACGACATCATTATTTATTAATTACGCACACCTTACGTACAAAACAGCAGAAGTAACGATGCGCACAGACAGACAACGATACACAGATAAAGTGGCTTTTTTCTTCCACGTTCATGAATATACTCTTAACACTTATGCAACAGGGCTGCATACAACTTGACGATAATAAAATACAATCTCCGACAGTGACGGCTGCGGTTTGTTTCACGGTTTCAGGCTCGATTCCGTCGTTCTCCTCTCGACGGCTGGCTCATCGATGGCGAACCTAATGCATAAAAATGGCGCGACAACGTTGCGCTATCGATTTTCCATTACTGCGCCCAGCGTGTCACGCACTCGCCTAACGACGTCGTATATTCAGAAAATTAAATTCATTTTAGGTAATTAATTAATTTCACAAATGTTAGGATGGTGCATCTCTTTCGTTCGTTTCGTCGATTGATCCTTGAAATTAAATATTCTACTGGAATAAATAACGGAGGATCTTCTGTAAGAGAATTTTCTTTTCAGAAATGAAAATTGATAGTTCCCACAAATTACGACTGTTTTATTTATTAATCGATCGAGCCTAGTCTGTCGTACGAATAAAGTATTGTCAACGCTGTGCGGAAGGAGAACGACAAAATCGAAGGAATTATTTTTGTCGTCGCCCTTATTTCCCTAGATTTGTTAACGATAATGCGACACCACCGTGCACGACAGTCTGACGATTACGGAGGAATAGCGAGAAGATCACGATCACGACGACGCGCGTTCATCTCGTCCGGTTTGAAACAGATCTATCGAACGGAAGCAGTACGGCTTGCGAGGTTAAAAATTCACAGAAAATCTTTCCGCTTGCGCGGATCGCTAACAACAAACTCCTGCTATCGATTCCCTGTGCTGGAAATCGCATGATCGCGAATTTATTCGTACAATTTAGCAACTCTCCAAGCGCAACTTAAGTTCGTATCGTTTCGAACAGACTATACACAACGAATACGTACGAGACCATCGCAAAAGTTCCATCGAATTGTGCTTAAGAATTATTTGTACTAACAATGTCAGGCGTTGTCCTCGCAATTTAAACACACACTATTCGACGAGACATGTGAAACCCTAACAAATATGTAACGCGTATGCAGTGAGGTCGTCGAATAAATTTTTAAGCGCGGTTATCGAGGAAATTGATTCCCGATCGAGCGACGTTCGTTCTTAAATACGCATCGCACGAAGAACTTTCGCGATCGTACGGAAAACAGCAATCGTGCTCGCGGGCTTAATTTATGTAGGTACTCTGTTTATATACGCGCAATCGAGCTCGATTTGTTTATTCCATCGACGTGTGGGCAGACATCTTCGCTTGACGCGAGTCTGTCCACGTGGAACGAACAAAATTACGGTCGACGTTTTATTTACTATGCACGACGATCAGGCTTTCCTCGATCGACATCGACTGTTCCGTATACTTTAACGCGTAAGCGAAACCAGGCATTAGCATTTCGGCGAATCAAGGATTTGTCGTTCGTCTTTGTACCGATGCTGAGTATTACATTGATCAACAACGTTTATAGGTGCTCTGTTATAACTGTTTCTTAAACGATTAATTCAGGTTTGGCAGCCGAGAAGAGAAATGTCCGTTTGGCGTTATCAAAAGAATCGGGCGACTGATTTCGATCCTGGATCGAGTTTTCGCGTGAAAAGGCAAACAGAAAATTATGTATGACCAATGCAAACTGTCTTAAACGAGATTCCAAATGATTCTTTGCAGGGTAAATAGTGACAAATAACGTTCATTGTGATAGGTACTTCTATATTACCCAGTTTATAACAAAACTGAATCAATTTAAGATTTTATTAATCGTTCTACCGTTCATCAAACGGTCTCAAACGAGTCTTCAAACAATCCCGGGCACAGTAAACAGTGGCAAATGACTTTCATTGTGATAGGTGCATCTATATTACCCAGTTCATCACGAAATTGAATCAATTTAATCGTCAAATCGTCCATCAAACGGCCTCAAACGATTCTGGACAAAGTAAACGCCCTTTTCTCGAACCATCGAGGTTCCAGGGCGTTCGTGGCGCGGAAAAAAATCGATGGAGACACTTTGCCCCTCGCTGCCGCTCCGTAAACGTTACTAACTATTATTTCGCGTGCTCACATTGTCATAAATAGATTCGTATCGTTGAAACGCGGGTGGATGCGAGTCGTCACGACAGCAGTCAACCCGCTGGCCTCTCCGACGATAGTGAACTGCTAACCAAACACTTTGTACCTCGATCGAAGCAACGATGGTAATCAGAACGTAGTAAAAAAATCGTACAAAATATCTCAAGCGCCGCGGGCGAATGCGAGAAAACTTACTTTCTAAGCGACGGCAAAGAAAAATTCGAGTCGTCGTTGGCAATGAAAGCGCTTCGGCTTCGAGTCGTCGGAAGCATGAGAAACGGAAATCAGAGAGAAGGTTGTCGTACCTCGAAACTGTCTCGACGCCATCGCATCGTCGTTTATGGTACTCGTAACACCTCGTCCGGAAGCAATACGAGCGTGTAACGTACTCTGTTTCTCTTCTAGTGTAGTATCAAATATAGACATATGTATTGTATATATATTATTTGTATATATATATATTGTATATAGTTAGTCTTTGCAGTTCTAGGACATACATAATTCATAGTAATCGATGGATATGTCGTGTAGTAAAAGTGTTCAACAATAACATCGTCGATATAGTTTTGCATCTGTTTCCCTTTGTCTCTTTGTTGCACCCACCTCTGCACAGAATCGATCTACCGATAATCGTTTACGATGAAATATACGGGGCGATTTTCGTTCTACGCTCAGTGTCGGTTGCAAGTAGTATCGCGATCGAGTCTCTATAGCGATAAGTGTTCGCGGTAGATTCGGTACGAGAAAGTAGAAAAGTGATCGAGCGATCGATGTGGAAGTTTTTGTTCAGCGAGAGATTTTGATTGATGCCGATGAATTGTTTCGTTACCATTAGACGTACATTGTTAACGCGTGGATACAAAAACGAAATTGCTGTCGTTAAACCGTGGAAAATGCCGTGGGACGATAACACGCTGCAAAATTGATCAAGCTTCTGTTCGGTGAATATTGCAAGCTCGACCTTTTCTTTGTTTTTATATTTCCAAAATTTTCCCATTTGTTCTGAATTCACAGTTTCAAATTGCCTACCACTTTGATAGATTTGAAAAGTTGTCCTTAATAATTTTTCATAGCGTAGTGATCACGAAAACGTAAATGTCTTTCAACGAAAAATACTCCTTTACTAGAAAATATATTTTCCAGCAATTCTTACAACATACAGTGTTTACTAATTTATTTCTGTTTTATTCGCTATTAAATACTGCGTCTTATCTTTTCGTCCCAGTGCATAGAAGAACGTTTGCTCAACTCTCAAATACACATTTCCCGAACAATGCAGCGAAGATAATAAAACGTTAATATAATTGCAACCTTCTTTCCCCCGTTCCTACTAAATTTCGTCACTAATGAGCATTGCTTAACAATCTTAAACATCTTCAAACTACGCACAACCGCGGACAATCCTTAGATCAACATGGGAATCGAAGAACCGTCTAGAACCGTTCTCCCAACGAGGATCAATGAACCTTGCGCGAACGCCTCGACGAACAGAGAACAAAATCGTTATACTCTGAAACAATTTTCCGCCATGGAAATAACAAATTCGCAGGCATCGACGGTAGCAAAACCAGAATGACGTCGAAATGAAACGTTTAGAACATGTGCGTTTTCAAGAGCCAAACCAAATTCGCGCGACCCTCCTGCCTCACCACCAATCTAATATAGAAACCGCTGACGCCATCGACGGGAGCGACGACGTTTTGCTCCTCCTGCGGCTGCTCCTGCAGCTCATCCTTCTGCGATTCCTCCTGCGCTCGAACCTTCATCTTCTCCTTCTTCCTCTTCCTCTTCGACACCTTACGATCCTCCCTGTGTCGTTGTTGCTCCTCTGACGATTTCTCGACGTCGGGCCTTCGACCTTCCAGACAGAGCTGCAGCTGCTCCAACCGTCGATTCTCCAGCTGCTCCTCGGTGTGTCTCTCCTGTATCTCCTGCAACACTGCCTCTTCCTGCCTCTGCAACACTTGATCCCGTTGCATCGCCAGATGCACCTTCAGCTCCTCCAAGTGCAAACGCAGTCGCCTCTCCTCGCGACTACGTCGACGTTCCTCCGCGTCCTCTTGCTGAACTTCCGGTTCTCGTGGTTGTTGCGACCCCTCTTCAGGCTGTTTAGGAGCCTCCTGCGACGTGCTTTGTACTTCCTCTTTCTCTGGCTCAGCCTTCGCTGCCTGTTGCTCCAAATCTTCCTGTTGTTGCTCTGCTTTCGAATCTTCTTCAACTTCCTTGGATTTCTCCTGTTGTTCCTCCGGTTGCTCTTTCTTTCCTGCATCCTCTTCCTCCACTTTCGCCGCCTGTTCTCGCGACTCTTCCTGCTTCGACTCCTCCATCGGAAGTTGCTCCTCTGTGGCTTTCTTTTCCACTTGCTCTGCCGATTCCTCTTCAGTTTGCTGTTTCTCGGGCTCCTCATCCCGCGTTTTCTCCGATTCGGCCGTTTTATCCTCCTTGTTCATCTGTTTCTTTGATTCCTCTTCCATCTGCAACCTCTTCCTTTGCTCTTCTTGTTGTCGTTGCGATTCCTGTTCCTGCTGGCTGCGTTGCTGCTGCAGCTGATTCCTCTGGTCAATCTGCCACTGCACGTCCTCCTCTTCCTGCTGTTTCTGCGCACTCGGTTGACGTTGCTGCTGCTCGCCGGTCGTTTCCTGCTCCGCTGTGCCGTTTTTACCTTCAAGCGGGTGCGAGACCGCATCGTTAATAGGAATTTCCTCGCGCCGAGGCTCGTCCGAAACGGCCGCAGTCAGTGCGGCCGTGGCCGGAGGTTAGTTAGGAGCTACCTGAATGTTGTTTCTGATCGGAGCCGGCGTCGGAATATGTCGAGCTCAATGTTGTGTTGCTACCATACGGGTCCAGAGAGGACTGGACCGATATACAGTGACCCTGCCGCCTCACTCTGTGGGGGGAGATCTTTCCCGGGTCGATACTCGTTGGGTCTGCCTGCAACAAACCCTCCGGTCACTTCTTTCATCAACCGAAACGGTGTACCGACGTTCACTTCTACGTGTGACGAGTGTCGATTCGGTATAAGCGGGTGACATCAGGTCAGAGGAGCGTCACCATCCTCACAAACTACCCCTATCTTCTTTTTTTTAACTACACGATAGATTCATAGATAAAAATAACGTGTCAAAGGAACACTGCGTGGCTCTATTTTTTGGGGGTATTTTTAGTCTGTTCGGTCGCTTGATTTGCTCTAATTGCTCCATTTTTTAAATTGGAAACCTCTAGGCACAAAAGGAAATCTCTTTTTACTGTACAGGGTGCCCCGTAGCATGTAGGACCCACTTCTAGATTCCACACATGAAAACAATAAAAAAAGTTTATATAAATATATGTTCTATTCCTTGCATCTGAACCCAGACCTGGAGACGTTTTATCATTGACTGTCTTACCTTTTCCATTTGTCCAAGAATTGTTCGAGTGCTACTTGTAAACAGTGAGATAAGCATAGTTCATGCTACGGGACACCCTGTATAGCTGAGTCTCGTGTAACAGGAAAAATTAATAAATAAATTAGAATGTTGACTCTACATTTTTAGTAAAACTGCCTTTTAATAAAATCATGAATTTTGCAACATCGAATGGAAGTACGCCCCTCCGACTTGAGTCCTTTTCAAGAATAAGGGACGGTAGATTCACACTCAATACGGTTCATAAATGGGAAAGGGCTCTTCGAGTCGATACGGAGCCTCGAGTACAGATGGAAAATTAAGAATTCTGTGTTTTCAAAATTGATTTTGCACGAAACAAGTAACATGTACCCTCGAATATGCGAATCGATCGAAGAATCTCTCCAAGGGAGATCAAAGGGTTAAATATACATTCGCTGGTGGAACGAGTGCCGCGCTTACACTAGCAAATAAATGATTTCGGATGAGTAATTGTCTGGAAAATAATTGCAACACATCGTTCATGGACATTGACACTATCATTGATGCTCGACACCGTCGTTGATACCAATTGGACATTTTACGAGGGAACGAGTGGCAAGTCAGCTGTTTTTGTAACTGCGTAAAGCAGACATCGACATTGTTTCATTGGGGAATAATTGGTGAACTGAATACCTTAACGGATTCGTATTGCACAACGCAATTGGGAGAGGAAAAATACCAAATATTTGTATACTTATTGGGATATCCACCGTCCGCAATCATTTTCGAACGTTTAAAAAAAAATTCATCGATCCGTAGACAATATTCTCGATCTGATAAAAAAAATGTAGAAACTGGAATTTTCGTTGAAAGTTTAAGTAAAATTGCTCGAACAACGTTCGTGAATGTTTAGAATTGGACGGTCGATGGCGACTCAAGACACGTAATTAAGGGGACAATAAGTTAAGGGTTGTTTCATCATGCTTTGCAAGAAGATACGGAGGTAGGGGACGAAATATTTACAGAGAAATGTATTCTTACTTCAATCCTGCACGATCGCAAATCTTTTGGACGAAATTGTATGACAACAGCCAATAGGAGCACGTAGATTGGACAAATTTAATGATCTGTTACTACCTTTTGCGCAGAATGGTACATTTTAGTTCATTTTGCGAGAAATACTAAAGTCCTGGTGCTACGTTAAGATCGCCGCTTGCAACAATGTATACGCAGAAATTAATCTTCGTCGGATTAAGTTCCACGGTTTGTACGCGTACTTTGGAAAGAGATTTCTACGGAGATCAGAAATTCCCCAAAAAGCCAAAGCAGCTAATGGAATGCAACTTTCGATCCGAAATAGAAGTCGAATTATGATTGTTAATAGCGCGATAGCGGAACGAGACGACGGAAATAGAACTGTCAATTGTTCGTTTAACGTTCATCTTGGAAATACCACGCACCTGATAGGCCAACGCGTTCATAATGATTTCGGAAGGTACCAGGTCTAAGGGATGAACCTCCTTCATTAGCATGTTCGTTGGGATTCTGTGAAATTGTATGTATTCCAGGAAGTTGCCGATTACGTCCTTCAGAGATGTGTCCTGATTGCTGTCGCAATACTTTTTGCTCCACATCAAGGCCGCCTGATAACATAATAATTAATAACTAGAGACTCTCGAAGTGACGAAGGATGAAGTGTAAGGTTCTTCGATGTATCGGAATTCCAGGAAAGAATAAATTATTTTGAGAGGACAAATAAATTTTGTTGACGTCATTCTTGCATGAGAGTCAAAAATCAAAAACAAATGAAACATTTAAGGTACTCAAATTAAATGGGAAGTTCTGTATATTATATTGATAGGGGTAATTTCGACCAGTATGTATTTCCGCTAAAATATTATCCTAATGGTACGAGGTATTTATTCAAAATGAAATTCAAAAATTGAACAAGATACATTTTCACATCTCACACGAGACTAATAATATTCTATGAGTTGTCAGAATAATATGACAAATATATTTGTATTTTATACAAATATTATACAATATTATACTTTGATGGAAATATTATACGTTCGAAATTACTCAACTTACCCCTAAGTGCGTTGTTTAAATTTATGTACACTGAATGGTACGTTTAACCTGTTAACTAAAGAAGACACGTTAACTAAAATTTTTAACTAAAATTTGTCTCATTACTTTCGCTTCTTTAATTCAACTAAGAATGTCTACGTTACAAATTGAATTTGGATTATATTATATTGTTTCGCGAATAGTAATTGATCGAACTTACTTGAAACTTGGTAAACTCATCGGCGCGTAGTTCGTCCCTTACCAGGATTAATCGAACCACGTGTTGAGGGAGCAGGGTGAAAGATCCTAAGTTTAATACCTCGTTCCCGTGGTCATCGACAAATTCCAACACCTTCCAAAATGGATACAAAAAGATTAGTTCCAGAGAATTTCAATTACATTTCCATGCAAGAGTTTAATAAGCTTTATTTCAACTTCGAAAATGCAAGTAATCAAGATCAACGTTCAAGATCGATATTCTCTGCGGGGGCAAAAAAAGAAAGGTTAACGATAAATGCTTTATTAGCGTGATTTTATTAAAATGTGTTGCGTCGATGAAAATCAGATCAAACGTCAGGTTCGCGTGCACTTTGTTATCAGAGAAAACACGACTAATTATTTTCGTAATAATTGTATTAATCAATCATATGAAAATGTTGCAAAATATATTTATAAAATAAAACGAATTTATATAACAAGCAAGATAAAATGAATGGTTTGATACGATGTTGTTTGCAAGTATAAATTAAATTTTAAATCAACGGGAGCAGATGTTTAAAATACAAGTTGACGGTTTACCCTTTGGACTAAGGACTTTGTGCATTTGTATTGAATATATCGTTCAGCTGACGCCAGTAAAGCACACACAGTATCCACCGTAATGCAGCACTGCACGAATCCAGAGCAAGCTTTCCTAAGCTCGTCTAATCCGTAGTAATCAGCGGCATTCATTACTCCTTCAAACAACAATGACGATATTAAGCACCTCTGAAGAGATAATCTCAAGCGACTATTTACTATACGTGAAGTAAAATTAAACCAAACGAATATGTGACAGTTTTAAATTATAATAATATTAATTGACATTACTTTTAAAAATAACTCAAATCAAATATTTCTTTAGTTTAAAAAAAATGCGTGTAGCGTGGAGTATAGTTATGTTCTCACCTAATAGCGTTCGAGGCTGTAACGTCACGCATCCCGTGTGAATGTATTCGATCAACTGTCGAAAAACGTCCGGTTCGAACTCCTCGACGATTAAAATGGGATGTTGATTCGGCTGTGGCTTAGCAGAAGACGCAAGTATTCATACGAACGAAATGATTGCTCGATAGTTCAGGCTTAAGCTTGAACTAGAAACTCCATGCTAAGCGACTCGCACGATGCATTCAGTGATGGATGGAATTTAGGATATATCCGAGCTACAATTTCTCTTGCTAAGAATTTCTAATAGATATTAATTTAACTGTATTATTTAATTTACTCGATACTCGATGAGTCAACGAATTTTGTTCGACGGTCCATCACCAATCGCTTAAACATTGGCAAAAATTGATCGATCGCGACACAGTTTACATAGGTGCAGATTCCCATAGGCAAACTACTGTGCGTCTAACACTATCATAAACTCCTACGTTTCGTACTGTTAGGTGCAGAAAATTGCAGAATCAAATTTGTGCCTTTCTCGCCGTGGCTCGTGCGATTCTACAGCTACTGCATATATTTGCCAATATAACAGCGGCACGGCCATCTATGTGTGCGATCTTTCAGACTGCAATTTCGTTCAATAATTTGCATGCCTGCCGAAAGACACAGATCCTGGAACGTCGAGCAACATGAATGAGTATACAAAACTTTTCCCAAAATACTATGCAACCCCAGATAATCCAAATCTAACTGTTTCGAAGTTACGCGAAGTTCTCGAGTTTATGTCTTTCAGCGAAGAAACGAACCACTACACACGCTGAAGTCGTGAAATTGCTTTAGGAGCGTCTTTAAGCGATTGAAAGGTAAGCTCTGGGAAAGCATTTGCAACGATTTCACGACGTCAGCTCGTATCTTTTTTCATGCAATCGTACGGAATAGTTGTATCGTCGCCGTGGGCGACTGGATGTCGCGTGTATGTCGCGCGACACGCGAATCAAACACCGAAAGAGCGAGAGAGAAACAGGCCGATCGTAATTCTCGCGAGGCAGTTTCTTTTAATGAATGTCGAGGACACCAATAATCGAAACGGCTTCCGATCGCGGGTTTACCGACGAGCTACGCGAACAGAGTGAAAGAGGGACAGAGAAAGAACTGGCGAGTAAAAGAAGAATTGTCAGATGCAAAATCGTATCCAGAAGTGACGTTTTCATAGTACCTCTTGTATGGGAGCCAACTGCTGCGTGAACCCTGACCGCTACACGGCACATAACAAATCCACACTTACTATTTCTATCATTTTAACGCACATTCTTTGGAATGTGCTCGTACGCGTTAGAGTCGACTCTTTTTCAACTACCCTTTACATTCCGTTTCGTTTACACAGAACTACCCAAAATTATAGACAGCGTCGGAGATAAATGATTCGAAATAAAATTGAAATTCTCGATTTTTATTTTATTTCTACAGAATCTCCCCCCTGTTCGTATCCCTAATTTAGAATCGTCCTGTGTATTAAAATAAACATATTTATGGGGGGTTCGTAATCATGCTCAATCCTCGTTAGGTTCAAAGTACCGTTAATACTTCGTCAAGCACGAGTACGTGTACGCTATAAACTGCCGAGTATTTATCTACAGAGTTTCTGTTTCTCTTGTCGTTCTCGATCTATCGGTGATTTCTTTCGTTCAAGGTCATCTCAAGGTCAACACATCATGCACGAAGAGGACCGTGTCTTGTTGGGTGCAACGATGCGTTAGAACACATTACGATGGACGGGGAGAAACGTGGGTGACCTTGAAAATATTAACTTCCGGAAGAAACAATGCATATGGATTAAAATTCTGTACATTTTCATATTTTTCGGTGGCCTCGATTGCTTGGTAGCGTACACCTTCTCATTTACAGTCTGTACTTCGTGGTTCACGCGAATTCTTATATCGTTTACGCTTGTTTTTAGTTTTCGAATATCGAAGTGTATCGCTATCTGTTCTACAATGGTTGCAATTACCTGTTGCGCCGTGTTCTGTAGATTCAACAGCGGTTCCGAGCTTCTTTTCAGGAACAAACGTATTTTGTTTTCGCGCGGCGGCGGTTCTTTCTTTCGCTGCGGGCTCGGCGCCTGGTAAAGCATTCTGTGGAATACTCTGTGGGGGAAAAAGAAAACGTGGTTCGTCGCAAACTGAGCAAAATTTTGAACAATTTTTTAAGCCATTCGATTGTTTGGGGGTTGATAAGATTTTATAAATTACGTAAAAAAATTAGTATTCGAGATACGAACCTACTTCTTGCTGCTAATACAGCCTTCACAGCGCACACTGGCTCTCTGGTGTCACCGACGAGAAAGGTCACATCGCAGAGTTCTGGCATTCTAGCCAGAAACTTCATGTCGTCGGCCAAGCCGGTCTTATTCTCGAAAGTCGAGTAATCCGCCTCGTCGGCCAACCCCGACCCCGAAGCCTCCGGCATCGAGCCCGTATTTTCCTAAAACGGTTTAGTTAAGCATAGACTTCCGTCCAGAGTCGCTTCGAGCATGAATACTTAACGCTTGCTCCCTAAATATAGGTCCTTTTCAACTCTGTCCCTGTCAAACTTGTCAGAAGATACCTTACAAAATTGAAGTTTAAAAAATACTTTATCTCGAGTACGATTTCATTCACGTGTCTGTCTATTACTGAATATTTCTACTTACATTTGTGATACCGTTAATGATATAGAATTATCTGCTATTCGTCGTCGATCTTACAATTAGTATCTTCTAACTAGTTTTAATTTTTCGAAACATTGTCTAGCCTTGTATTTTTCAAAGTAGGAACACACGATTTTCTTTTCTGACATGGTTGAAAATGCAGGAATATTGTATCTATCAGAACCACTTAATAGTGTTTCAATTGAAAACGGAACATGCTTACTTTATGTAGACTAAATATACGTTCCTCGTGAATTTAAAATTAAATATAGTTTAATAGAAATTCACGTGGGAGTAACTATTTTATAATAACTCGAACGTCGATAACATATCTACGCGTTTTGAATTTCTAGGTCGCGTTCCAGATTATCCAGTTATTTACCACTACGGTGCCTAATCAAAGTGCTACAAGAATGTTTTATTATTAAAATAGTATTAAGCAACTGCTGTAATAGCAACGCGTCTATTACTAGTAGAGTGTCGTATAAATAAAATTAATTTTATTTATAGCAATTCCACGTATCGTCGAGGAACGAAAATATTATTATCTTTCGTGTAAACAATAGACAGATTTTTATTAAAAACTTTGACGCGTTGCCTGTACTTGAACAATTATTCACAGTAGCAAAGTATAATAAATCTACCGAACAATTTAACGGGGACACTTTCTGCGAGTACAATAAGTGATAAATAATGCATTATAAAGTCGATATTGTTTAAATTAAATAGCGTGACATTTCTCAGGGTATAAACGATTTCTGTCAATGTGAAATAAAATATATTTCCTCGACGTTATTGAATATTTTGCGAAACGATTTCTTGATAAATAGTACGCGTAGGGAAGTATAAAAAAAAGTTATTAGCGAAAAAGCGTCGGCGCATGAGCGCCTTTAATGCATCCGTCGAGCCGAGCGCGTTAAGAGTTTCTGAAGAAAAAGCGAGGCGAGAGCACGCTTTAATGAACGAAATGCACTTTCCTTTATCGGATAGGGAAATCTGCAAGTCCATCGATAAATCGCCTCCCCCTCCACCCGACGAAAGACTTAACTACCCCTCCGTGTAACAAGGTCTGTTATCTACGATGTAGTTAACCTACTTGCAGCCGGAGACCCCTTTAATCCGCTTCCCAGCTTGACGATAAACTTTCGTTTACGTTCGACCTTTAAATAAGACGAATAATTTTCGCAACGTCTCGCGACTGTCTCCGCAAATTCGATTCCCATTGACTTCGAGACGGCGATAAAAATCGAAAAATCGAGCAGATGCATTCAATATATTCGCTTCGAAACGAAAAAGACGTTACAATGTGGGCATAGAAATTAATTTCAATTCAGTTTCATGTTCAATGTTTTTAAAACTGTGGTGCGTTTTGCTTTGAATAATAATATAGGCGATTGGACGACATTGGAAATTAAATTGGCATTAGGGTAGTTAATTGGAGTCAACGTGCACGTCTTTAGTTAATAACAGAAAGGAGGATTACTTTAACCCTTACGTGGACTCTCAATCTCAACTGAATTATTTTACTTAATCTTGATTTTTACCAAATTGGTAAATGGAAATCAACATTCTTTTAAAGTATTTAAAAGATAATGAATTAATGGAGGATTTTAAAAATTTTGAAATAATTACATTGACATATATTAAAAAATTATTAGTTTAAACTTGCAGAGGGCCAATAACCCACTTAAGGGTTAATGCCAATTTAATTATGTCGTCTAAAGAGTTTCATATACTTAGCAAACAAAATAATTACAGTTTCCTATTGGTATAACTTCTTCTCTAAGTATTTAATCATTCCTTGGACCAGCATTACTCGAGTTTTACTAAGACGAGGATTCTATATAGATGCTCATATATCAATTTTCTATTTCAATCCACGTCGTTTCACCCTGAATCGATACGCGTGTTATCAGAATTTCTTGAATCCTAATAATACGGTTACCGTGGACCAATTTTCAACGTCAAAAATTAAAATAAATTGCCACTATGATCCTGAAGAATTTTTCCACCCCTAACGACCGAATAAAACAGATACAATTACCACGGTAGACTGCCACGTTTATTCGATAATCTAATGGTGTCCCTATTACTTGAAAGCACCCCAAATGCAAATAAAATTATTTAAAACAGTACAGTTATTAGCTTTCTCGCTGTAAACAATTTTTAAACACGATTCTAAGTCCAAAGCTCCGGTGACCGGTGGCAGTCAACGTGCTATCCAAGGCAATCCGTATATTTCGGGGGTGTCGAGGCAATCCACGTTGGTGTTTCCATCCCGGGGAATACGCGACACCGGTCGAGGGGTTGAAAAGGTCACGTTCTCTGGAAACGAAGTCCTTCGCGGACGGAAAGGAGCGACGGTGGGGCGCGTGAATTGCGTCATCTTAACTAGGCCTCCCTTAAACGCTCCTACGAAAGCCGTGCCCCCGCAGAAGGGGTAAATTACCTGTTGCTCGAGTCCCGGAGCCCCCTCGCTCGCCGGGTCGCTTTTGCCCCGAAAAAACACTTTTATCTCCCTTCCTCGTGTCTACGATCAGGCATAATCCACCGCGGTCATCCCGTACGACGTCTGGCGACCGTCAAACCTACTAGAACATCTCGACGCTTCGAGAGAATTGCAGGAATGAACTCTTCCGAACGTTGGCCACCCCTTTCTCGTCGTGCTTTCCCTTGTTGCTTTCAGGGCCACCCCAAAACGAGCAACGATTCTCGCGTAGGGGACACGCCTCGCGGTCGAGTTCCTCCGGCGACGACGCTCCTCCACGACCTCGTTTCCGCGACGAACGTAACCGCTCTCGAGCACGCTTCCGCCCTTGTCAGCGGCCGCGCGGGGGTGGCGTTCTCGCGGCTCGGTTTCGTGAATGAACACCCGCGCACGGAATAGGAAAAACGGTCCTCGCTTTCGGGCGAAGCGACTCGACTGCGCCGAGCATCCACTCACCGAGACCAGAATCACCCACCCTCACTGCGCACACGCGCTACGACCATCGAAGGGGGTGAAAACTGGCCGGTAGCTGCGCCTGTGCGACCTGCAGGTCCTCTCGAAGGACCTCTCCCTTTCCTTTCGACGGATTTTTAAATGTCAGCTGGGCTACCCCTGTGATCGTCGATTATATGGCCAGCAGGGGCGAGAAAAGAGGGAGAGTTTTGTGGCTCCTCTGGCTCTTGTTTCGTCCATTAGCCACCCCCAGTGTCACTCTTTCGTTAACTCGTTGCCTTCCTAGGGATTCATACAGGGTTTACAAATCAAAACCCTTTTGATTTGGACTAGACTATTAAAATGAATACATATTTGTTGACAGATATGTATACTGTGAGATTCGATAAAATTTAAACTGTTATATAAAATTAGAAATTATTAAACGTTGATATTAATAAAAACCACCGACCACAAACAAGGTTAAACTTTGCGTACGGGGCTATTTTTACGCGGAGACACTAACTCCAGTAATATTGTTCCCTACTTCTGCGTGCAAGGTTCAAAATAAGGGGTCGCTGGTTCGAGTCACGGTTTTATTATTCACAATATCTCTCCGCGCAAAGTATTTCTGAAGCTATATTTAAACAATTTTCAAAGTCCTGTCACCGTAATTTCGGTATAATATAATGCACTAACGGGCGATTCGAAGGAAACTTATAACAACGTGACCGTATTGAGTAGGGTAAATTAATTTTGTAGAATACGTTTTGGGTGTTCTCTACAATATTCTACTACAAAAATATGTTATAATAGGCATATTAAATTAATTTTGTGGAAAATATTTTGGGTGTTCTGTATAATATCCGACTACAAAAGCTCTATATTATATTTTTCAAAATTTCTAGAGACTCCAAACATAACACGAACCTCGGGAGTTGTATGTTGAAAAGTTTTAATAAAATCGATGGAGAGGGAAAATTTATAACAGCACTTAGTTTTGTAATAGTAATTTTGTGCATTTGTGAATATTCTCGCTGAGGATTGTTCACATTTGGTTAGAACGTGGGCAACGAAAGTGAAGGTAACGTGAACTCCACCGTGACGAATCCGGGTCAAGCTCAAAATCTGGCTCTGTGGACCACAACCATTCATGTCTGTGGAGGAACTACTGTCGCGCTTTATCCAGGAACGTCTCTTTCTACGAATCAATAACTCCCGGCACCGCAACAAGTAGGTATCCTGGTTAAAACACGGGAGAAGGAACGCAAGCGCTTCGATCGTTCGAAAATTCTCGGTTTCGAGGGACTCACGTGCCACGTATTAACGTCCATTTTAATTACTACAGTGCTTACGAAGACCTTTATCAAAATTATACAAAAATAACTAGCCTCTGAATAGTCTTTATTTTACCCAAATAAATATTCCACAGTCGATGGATTTATGTCGAAGGTTGATATTGGGTTCAATTTATTTTGTAGAGATTGTATTAATTAAAAATTGGTGTAATTGTTAATCGTAGAAAATTTGTACGTCGCTAATAGGAATAGGTTGTTAAAAAATGGGTTTGATACGTTGAAATTTCAGAATAGAACGCCTTTGTTAGTCGTATTCCTTTGTCGACGGACGTCCCGGCGCCGACGACGCCTGCGCGAGAATAACGAACGATTTCGTTTTGGTTTCCGTGGCAGCCCCTTGATAATTGGTAAACGGTTCGATAAACACACGCAGCGTTTCGCGATCGTGGAACTATTTGAAAAAATAAATTTCGAGCTCCTTCTATTCTCTGCTGTCTATTAAAAAACGATCGAAAATTTTTATTGTTTACCGTTGTAGGAAGTTGGACAAACTTTTTCTCAAACTAACGCAATTATTGACGAGTCGACGAGACGAATTAAATATTATTTTAACGCGTTTAACGATTTATTAATAATCGGCCGGAGTGAAGTGTCGCTGAAGTGGAAATGTAAATTTATGATCAGACCGAAATAGTTCAAGGTTGATCGAAACTGTGTCGTGACCGACTTTCATGCTGAACTCTCAATTCGATATCATGTGCAATTATGTAGATCGAGCGCATCAAAGGGGCCGGTGACGTTTTAACAATAAACAGTAACAAAGCACAAAGGAAAACGAACAAAAGGAATCATCGAGTGACGCATGCATACTGTACACTATTCATAATGTTATGATGCAACGTTTTGAAACGTGATTTCGCGTATGACAAATGACAGACATTTTTAAAACTTCGTCTGAACAAATAAACTTCGATGATAGAAATATGTAAACCTTTGTTTTATTTGAACGAGCATATTCTTTTATTTAAGCCCTGTTTCGTATGGTATTTTGCTAGTACCTTGCATTTATTTAATACTTGCTGGTTTAGGCAATCCTCTCTTCCGAATCCACTGAAATTAAATTGTTTAGGGAATATTCATTGCACCTGGGTGACCTAAATCTTGGTAAACCCTAAAATCTATGGAGAAAGTGAATGAACGATTGAACAGTGATAATAACAGGTCGATCTCCATCAATAACATAAAACAACATCGATTTATTCAACACAAATACTTGCACGTTACGATAGAGGTTCGTAGTAATGATAATAGTGATAATAATATTCATATATACAGGAAATAAGGCACGTTCGATATTACATTAATTAACGTGCGACCAGCGTCGCTCGGCTGTCCGTTACATCTCTTATCATCATTGTATCTCCCCCATCTTACGATATGCAACATCCTTACCAAATGTAGAAAATGTCGTATATATAATATATATATATATTTATAATATATGTATATATCTATCTGTATAAACGTTCTCGTTGAATTCCATTCGTCCGTTCATCGGTAATTCGAAGAAAAGAATCTTACGCCATCTTAAAATCTATATGCATGTTCTCCGTTTCCGTTCAATTATTCGTTAATGAAGTCTTCGATCGCGCGTGTCCTTCTTCCGCTTTTATTTCTATCCGGAAGTGTCTAAGGAAACGCGCAAAACTGCGATTCAAAGTTTCGAATGAATGTCGCTGAAATCAGAATGAAACTAAGGGTGTAGTTTGGTCTAGAATCGTTCGTAAATTAATATTTCTTTGCAATAATCTCGAAATGTCGGGTATATGTAATGACAAATCATTAATATTCGAAAAGTTTGCAAAATTATGGGACTTCAACTTCAGTTTGAAACTTTTATAAGTATTCCACTACTTTAGTAACTCGAGAATGAACATTGCTTGAGAAAATTTCAAAAAATACTTAAACTATACACAGACATTCGTACAAAATTTGAACACTTAACACTTTGATGGTCGCACGTTTCACAGAAAGACTATTATTGTCTGCCATCGAGAGAATCTTTGGAAATTTTAAATCGAACAGCTTATAAACATTCGCATTGTAGCTCTACATAATTTTACCACCCGTTAAACGTGTAAATATTAATTTTATTAATTCGTATAGTTCGTTGTAAATATCGGCGAGGATATCAGTATCTGTTCTTTCTTCAGGATTTTTATTAAAAATTATTTCTGAATTACGAATCTACGTGAACCAAGAATTCCTGAACTGACTGTTCGTGGACCAAAGTTAGGAACTAGGAATATTACTAGAAGGAACTATAAACACGGAGATACCATAATGAACACACGACGTAAGATTCGAATCTGAATAAACTCAATAAATAAAATCACGTACACGTGACAGCGGCTATCAAAGTGTTAGTATGTAAACAAAGTCTAAATTTCTATTTTCTGGGCCAAACTACCCTTTTAATTGATCGCTCAAGGCCACAGTTCCCACCGTGCCACTCATCCACCCCTACTCTACCTACCATATTCTCTTATACGCCGTGTAAAACCCGATTCATAGTCGACAAAGTGGCCTCGAGCATTCAATTGAATTTGATCGAACTGTAATTAAATGTTCATCGTGAAGTTTCGAAGAATGCTTGTTCCTTTCGCATTGGCAGCTGAGAAAAATTCAACATTCTCACCTAGATCACAATTTCAAACGACGAATAAAAGGTAAACAACTTTTGATATGTTATTTGCTCGATGAGAACATAATCTAAATTACGAATATAAAATTTCAAGTTGAACGAATACAAGCTTACGCGAATACCTGTTTGATATGATGTTTATATTCATTTATTAATTAAATAAAATGTCTCTTCTGAGGGGTGTACTCAATCAACCCTGGTAATACGAGTATTCCTTTGGAAGGATTTCTTTCAGCTGCCAACGAAGCTCAGGAAATCGTATATTGAATCGATTTCAGGTTCTGGCGTTGATTAACAATCCTCAGACTTCAAGCTTACGATATTGTCTCGATTTTTTGGAAAAGATGGCACGAGACATTGAATCTTCTCGTTCCTCGATTACACGAATCTTCGATGATATTTTATTACAGATATGTGAAGTGTTGCGATAAAGTCGGCGTGCGCGACGCGGGACAAATGATTCGCGATGGTGATCGGTGACGGTCGAGAAGAGTTTGAATATCATACAATCGTCCACGCACTAGCAGCCGCATTCACGGTTTCGTTGGCACGCACAGACATCTGCAGATTAGGGTTGCTCCATGAAATCACGGTTCTCGAGCCTTTGGTGTCCGCTGGCAGGGCAAAGGTTAGAAGCATTGTGTGCTTTCGCGTCGAATGGAACTCGGAAGTCGTCTCGTTTTTGGGAAACTACTATTGGCTTTGCATCAAAATGCAACGATTGATTTTTCTAGACTTTTTGGCGGCCATATTGAAAACATGAAATCACACACAGAACTATAAACGATTGAAGTTAAATCAAGTTGATAACATTCTTCCATTTGTTCAAATTCATTCCCATAAGTAGTTTACTTCTGAAACCCAAAAAGATGTCAAATTTGAGGACACTCGGTGTTTACAACAATTAATTAACGATATTGTCTGAGGAATTTTCGATTTCCCGTCCTGGTAACGCAGCTGTGCGATTATAAAACAATTGCAGGGAGAAACGTACAAAAGATCTTGGCAGAAGTTGGGATTGCAAGTGGATCGGACTCGATTGATCGCTCAAGGTCGCCCGTCCCCACCCTTGCGTCGTCCAAACTTGCCTATTGATTCGATAGACAGGGTGGTGAGGGTATTGAACGGCGACAGTGGCCTTGAACGACCAGTTGATTTCGTTCCGACCGTAGATAACCGTACCTCCAACATTTAACGAATAAAAACTAGATGTCACTTCCATCGCCAGGGCGGGAAATCGATTCTGCTCCGGACCATGGTTGAGTACGTCTATGGTAACGTAACTCGACTAATTTTATTCACCGTTTCCTCGACAACTTCGCGAATCGATCGGAAGAATATTAGACACCAAAGGGTCGCGTTTAACACTCCTCGAGAACTCGCGACTCAACGCCACCGCATTCTGCAAATTATTTACTCTCTCACATACATTCGGAATCTTACTTTAGGCGGTATCTAAACTGGCATCGAGATACTTTACACGAATGTACAAAAGTCTTCCTACACCGTATCCGGAATGTGTACCTTCACTCGTCCGTTCTCCGTCTCTACGCACTACGTACGAGCTAAATTAGAAAAAAAAAAGAAAGATTCGTTCGTCGAGCGCGAACTTGGAATCGTCGACGACGTTGCTCGCGTCCGAATTGGAATGTAAGATACTACCGTAAGCGCGGAGAATACGACTGAGAGACAACGGGACGATCATCGAGTCGTCGATCGATTCTACTCTACGGTCTCCTTCCTTTCTTGGTCGAGTTTGTAATGTACAATTTTGAAAATTACCTGTAACTTGATCCTACGATGTGCGGGGATAATAGGATCTATCTAGGACTCCGTCGATCTTGTAGCATATGTCTTATTTTCGATTTAAGCAGAAGGTAAAAATTTTTTCAATCATACGATTGAGCATTAATTATAGAATGAAATTGTTTTAAGTTATCGATCAACGATTCTTTGATTTTCCAGGCAGCCCCAAACGCCTCGTTGTCTCCGAGATGGCACTCGCCATAAGCAACTCGCACACGGATCGCTCGATTCTCCATAAAACGTTCGCCAACGGACGAACGCGACGATCGAGGATTTCGCGGAGGTCGATACCGATCGCATTCGCCCGTCTGTCCCGAATAAAATCTAAATAATACATCCTGCTGACACGCGTTTCGCTGTCATTGACGCATCGGCGCATTCTCTCGCGTCCTAATTATTGCCTTAAACTACGCAATTAGTCGTTAAAACCTCGTTTCGATTAGTAAGTACTTCGCAAAGATGCGCGACGCTCTCTCATACCCATTGCACGTAATTAATGTTTTAAAACGTAACGGATTCAACTCATAAGCACCTAACTATCCAACAAACGAACTTGGATTCTGTTAACGAATAACAAAGTTAAAAAAACTGTTTCGTGGCCTCGTAAAATATTCAAGGAAACTATTAAAATTCCAGTGTCGCGTGTCTTTCTCGCGGAAACCTTTCAAAATTCCTTCAATGCCAGCGAAAGCGTTTCCTAAACTGAAAACGGGCCCCCGACGCGCTCACGGACCGTCCCCGTCTCTCATTGTACATCAGTTACAGCGTTTCGTCGAAGGGAATGTCCCTCTTCGTTCACCCTTAAGTCGATAATATCTATTGCACTTCGTCTGTTCTCTAATTAGAAATTATAGCTGACGATCTCGGCGAGTGGATCGTTGCCTCCTACGCACCGAAGCCTCGTTTCCAAAGGGCTCGTCTCGATTTCACGGGGGAAATCTCGCGTCCCTTCTGCCACGCAGTCGATCTTGAGCGTCTGGTCGACGGAGTTTCGAGGCGCCCAGGCCCCGAAACCACAGAATCTATCTGCCGAAACGGGTCTTGGCGACGGAATACCGTGGCCCAGACATCCAAGTACCGGCATGGTCGAACCTTCGACCGGTATTTCTCGACTGTCGACGTGAAAAGGCGCGATATCACAGCTTCGAGGGGTCGTAGTTCTCGAAGGACCACCTCTGTCTCGCGGCGTTCGGTGAACACTCCTCCATTATCAGACGCTGTTTGCTCTCGGTGATCGCTAGACACTTGTCACTGCTACCGTGTCTGATCTGCTTCGTCTGGAAACCGAAACACCCAATCAATTCGCTTACTTTTATTTTAAAACCATGAGAAAGAGAAACAAAGCATCATTCGGAGGCAAAAATGTATAAAATAACGTTATTATTGCTTTGTCGTAACCAATATGATGTCAGCGTTCTAGGCGAGTGTATTTAAAAAATATTCCATCAGAACAATGTTATCACTTTTTAAAAAATTGTGTTGAAATCACAGAGCCCTGTGAAAATGACGTATTCACCAAATCGCGAAACACGAGAATTCGAGCACAAAGGAACTGCTAGCCAGCATTCGGTCAAAATGTAATTCGATTACGTTCGCCACTACTAGCACAATGTGATTGTACGGGTAATTACATAGTAATCACACGGTAATTATCGCGGTAACTGCCGTTTAATCGTGATCGTAATTCATGAAACTGCACGAGTATCGTGTAATTACAATGTAATTATTTCGTGGAAGTAATCGTGGCAAGTATAATCAGATTATATTTTACCCAAGGCTGCTATTAACCCAGGGTTAATATACCGAACAGAGTCTAGCAGGGTCGAGATTGGCGCTAATAGTTATTGATATAATAAATGTGTCATTTGGGCGGACGGTGCGTGATTTTCTAAAATATTTGATGAAAATGTTACGCGATAGAGGGTGCAGAGTGGCGCGAAAACGTTAATGAAAGTGTTAATAATACAATCGATGAAGCATAGACGGGACGCGGACGGTGACGTTGCTTGATCGTTGATATCAATACTTCGCATAAATACGAGGCTAGCGTACCTGGGGATTATAAATCCATTGTTGATTCCCTTTGCTACCGTGACAAGGATAGAGGACGACATCAGTGCCGCTGTAATCCAAGCACGACTCGTCTCGACGGATCTCGCCGGTCTTGCTCAACATCCAGTACTATGACAAACGATCAAGATTAATGCTCGTGAATTTTGACCTCCAGCATTTGCCTATGACCGATGGTTCTGACAGCCACGTACATATGTATGCGCCGGGGGCACTTCAGTAACCTGAACGTTCAGCAGATGCCTCGAACGGCCACTTTCATCAAACGTCTCCGGCACATATTCGTACCCAATTCAAATATTTCACGATCCATTCTGGATTTCGAATCACGTTTTTAATTACGTATACTTATTAAACGTTACAAATAGTTTTCACCGCGTTATATTTAAAACCTTTTTAAACGTATTCTACGTGTAATTTTAAACGCGGTGAAAAAATTTTAATTGACAAAGGCTTCGACGTGCACGGGAAAATTGGTGTCCCGATTAAAATTACACGATGGAAGCGACGTTCTTAATTGAAAGGAGTCTGCATCCAAGCTTTATGTATTTTTACGCGTTTAACGTTATTAAACCTCTTTTTTCTGGAGAAAATTGAGGCAAAATTCGTTTTCGTAATCGATTCGGACAATCTTGCGCGCTCGAATTTGCACGTATAATAGGTAGTTTAACGCTTCGAACGTTTATAAGACTCGGCGAGGAAGTTGCTCCGCGATGGTTAAAAAAAAAAAAGAATATGTCGACGCTCTTAAAACTACTCGAACCTTTTTTTTTTTTGTTAAAAGAAAAAAAAGGAAACTTCGTGTGACCGTGGAGCGAAATTATAAAAGTTCGTAACTGAAGTAAAAACGGTAATTGCTGTTAGAATTTAACTTCTTGTAATTTACGTTCTACTTTTTAATAAACGAATACAAAGTTACGGACCCGACGGTCGCTAACCGGGAATTAAAAATAAATTAATTGGCCCGAATGCGTTTAAGTTTTTATAATTGCAAGGTTTTTACAACGTTTGAAAGAAAATTCTCGTCCCATTGAAGGGAGCTACTTCTTCGGTAGATATATAAACACTATTTGTATAGTAAAAAATGATGAAAACTGAATCGAAACTAGTCGTTTAATAGAGACTCAGTGTTTTCTTTCCGCTGGGTTCTTTAGAAAATTTATTAAAAATTTGAAGAGTTTCTCGAATTTTCATAATCAACTCCACGATATAGAAAATCGCTGTATTCTTTTTTTTTAAAGAATAATTGATTTCTAGATGATTTCAAGCATGTTTTCACCGAGCAACAAGCTTTAGGATCGTCGCTAAGCGAAATACGGAACAATGCCAAAGCAACGTTAGCGATAATGAACGTCAATCACAGATAGTCGAGTTTACTGTTCCCAGAAAGTGATCTGGAACCATTCGTGACGGCATCATTCCGGACAATTGAAACTGACGTCGTTCTATAAATTGTAGCACTTCATAATGAGAACAACGATGATCGAAGCTTGTTAACCATAGAGGTTTGTGGTTATGCACGTTGCATACCACGTTAATAACTTACACCTTTCCATAAATAGAATTTCAGTTAACTATTTCGATCGCCAAAGAAAATTATTTTCACGAGTTTTCAGTGGAACGTGTCATTGCATAGACTACGAACTTAATGAGAGTCTATTAAGGAACAAGGACGAGTTCTACGTATTCAATTACCACGAACACCTAAAAAGTAAATCGATTTGCTCCACTTCGCGTAAGTAGGTGATAAAAGACTGATCAAGTCCGACGAGTGACCAGGGAACGAAATAGCGTAGCTTGTGCTTATTCAAATTTCTACAAGTTGTAGCTGTCAGAACCATCTGCGTCGTAAATTCAAAGATTTTCAGCGCCTGTCGTGCAACGTTAGGCTCGTAAGCAGCGGGTGGATTCAGGATAATGAAAAGCAAGGATTAACGCCGTGCACCTTACAATCAAGCATTGCTATCTATATCCGTTCTATCGAGGTATCAAACCCGTAAACCGACCGTCGTAAGAAAATAACGGTAATTTTAGTAACAACTTCCGGTTCAGGAATATAGCACCTCGTCCAAAGCAATATGCGTCGCGCACCACCGTTGCAAATTAAAAAGCACCGAAATTATTTCCCATCTCCGTCAGAGTGGAATTTCTGGAAGCTTAGATTAAACCTATCACAACTTTTGTTTAGAGTTTCTATCACACAATGTTATTTTAACGCTATTTAACTTGACAACTTTTCTTATAGTATACGTACAATAAATTTCCACTAATATTCACTTCTTTATTTTCTGAGAAAAATGTGTAATTTATCTTGTCTGCCACAAGTCAATTAACCGTATGAACGATTTACATTTTTCGATGTAAATAAGAAATGTATAGCAAAGGTGAAAGAAGAGAGTCTTCAGTTTCCACTGTCTTAGAACAGTCTAACAACGCGTATTAAAAATAGTTCAACTTTACATACGTGCAGCTCCGAAACAACTAGCGTTTTCTCCATAACCGTGCGACTGTTAGAAGCGGTAAAGCTTCCTCTTTGAAATGGTTTTTGGTTTTTGTCGATCCGATTACCCGTTTTGGAGATATCGTAATTTAAATGAAGGCGTAATTTTTAAAATTCCGCTTGCCGTCTTACGAAAGCCTATTAACGCGTATTAAAAATACTAAAACTTTAGACGCGTACAGTTTCAAAACTACTAGTGCTTTATCCGTAATTGAATCACTGTTGGTAGCGGTGAAGCCTCCTCTTTAAAATGGTTTTTGGTTTTTGTCGATCGGACTTTCCGTTTTCGAGATATCGTAATTTATGCAAAAGGTAATTTTTTTAATTCGACTATCTCTGTCTCCGTCTGACGCGTCGCGCCAGACCTCTCTGTGACCTTGTTTCTACGAGCACGTGCGGTCAACGACCTTGTCAAGGCCGTAGTAAGAATGTAAACAAACGCTTCGGACTCTTCTATCTCCGGAACTAGCCACCGCATCGACTTGAAACTAAAATCGCTATATCTCCGGAACTAATAAAGCTATCGACTTGTTCGAACGCTCGTTTTAAAAGGCATTTCATCCTCTATCCAACGAACATAACAACAATTATTATTTATGCCGTCTTCTATGTTTATTTTGTTATTAACTTTGACTCTACGCACCTGGAGAAATTTCAGCAATTTCTATTGATCATACGTCTGATGTGCGATAAAACTGGATTATAAATTGTCTATTTAATTGAAAAAGAATTTACATTTATATACGGAATGTTTACATAATTACTAGCCAGCATTTTTTCGTAATTAATTGTTTTTTACCAGAGCCTTATGTTTGGCAATTTTCAACGCTAAATTACAAGATTAAAACTAGATTGCTAGAACTGGAAGTGAAAGTGGAACGAAAATTAATCGACAGAACCATTATAACAAGGGATAAACAACGGTCGATCATGGTTTAAACACAGGTATGTAGCCGCGAGGTGATCGTAAGCCATCCCGACTAAACGCTGGCTATCTATTAAACGATCTAATTATCAATAATTGCCTACTATTAATCTCAGCTAGTTGCAAAGTAATCGCTTCATCTAATTGCAGTCTGTCGGTCAGCCTTTAGCCGCGTATTGTCGAGGCGAAAACTCGGACGCGCGTTCATTGTTGATACTGTTAACGCTATTTATCGACCGACTGCTGTCGCCTACTTTTCATTAGACTGTCGACCAACAATCATGTCTTTATATACCTATCGACCATATCTCGCGCAACTGTCGTCTACGGTGTCGTTAATATGTCACTTGTGCCTTGTTTCGAGCAGCTCCTATTAAGATCAGTTGTGTCACTATCAGTTGAACTTTACCTTCTCGCGAATCTCTGGTCGATGGAAACATTTTGAAGATATCTCAGAGCAGAAGTACATTCTACCATTTATATAGCACATTAAATTTTAGCGAAGATTCAGAGACGAGAAGAATAGAGTCTTCGACGAAGGCGAAGCGTCTCGAGGATGATAAAATTAAGGAAGAATCCGACGATTTCGCGTCTTTGGCGACCCGTGGGTCCCGCAATTACCGTGTCTTGGCCGTTCGAACACGTCGAAGTCATCAATAAACAGGAGTGGAAGCGCGGTGGTCACGACTCTATTAGAGTCGGTCGGCCGAGCCCGGGCAGCAGCGTAATTACCGTGAAACCGCAGCTTAATTGCTAGGGCAAATAGCTAAATTAAAGCGACGCTTTACGAGGCCAGGCGAGCGCCGACTGATTGTGTTTTTGGTTGTAACTGGTTGTCACGGTTGTTAAACCGCGCCGTAGCCTGGCTGAACGCAGAGCTTTTGTGCGAAACGACGGCCTGGGATTCACGCGGGAGCTTGTCGTCGTCGTCTGCGTGATTTTAACGACGAGACGAGCGTCCCCGGTTACGAGGCCAGATTTCCACCAATACGACGCGTTCCTCGCGATAACGAGCTCTCTACCGCCATCGTTTTATCATCGACGGCAATTTTTTAGCCCTGACACTTTCCCTATGGCCCCTTTCTTTCCCTCAACACGTCCATTGACTAGATCAAAACCACACAATACTCTGCAAAATTAAAATTTTGATTTTTCTAAAATTCACGATCACAAATCCTGTCCAAATTTATTTCTCGATTCGAGAATTAATTCTTCGAAATCCATGGTGGTAAATTTTGGCTGACGTGGCAGACAAAGAGTGAGCCTTGCTCGACTTGACCCGATGGAAAGTTGATGAGAACTTTCAGACGAAGCTATCTGCAACGCGTCGCTTTTGAAATGGACCGATGCTCGAAACAGTTCTAGCTTCGAAATGGCTACTTAACGCGATTAATAAATGAAAATGCTGAGTGCATGGAATCTCTGGCTAATTCAACGGATGCTCGACTTTGACTAATAGCCACCGACACGGAATCGAGATATTCTCGGAAAAGTTCGAGCGACAAACGAGAAATTCACAATTTAATCTAATACTCAAAATCCTTTAAACACAAAATAGTTATAATTCGTAAAATTTACCCAATTCGAGCGAAACGTCCTGTCACTCGTGTTAATAACATTTATGAACAGTATCATAACAATTTGCGGTCAGCTGATGGAGAGACTGCAATTGCCATTGCAACTAATTCATATTTATAGTAATTATTGATGATTAAGCGACGTTCTTTATCGATCAATTCAATATCTGTACAAAAAATGAAACGATGTCAGATTGCAGCTGTTATTTACACTATTTGAATGTATCGATGGACGCTGAAAGATGCGTTTGGTTCGAACGAACGTTGTTTCTGGTTTAGTGGGCAGACAAAGCCAAAGCAATCGCTCTAACGACATCTATTCGCTCCCCCTAACAAGCGTGGGAAGATTAATTCAACGCTGATGGCGTAAAACTAAAAATGTCGACAAGTTCGGATAGCCGCGACGAGAGAAAGGTGGTTTAGGTCATCGCACCGCGAGAGGAGGGTAGACGATTGATGAGCACCTGCACCAGATTAGCGACGTTACTAATTGCAGCGAAATGGGTCGAGCTTAGCACCGAGTTAGCGTGCAAAGTTAAATGGTAAACGTGTCGTCGGTTAATGGTCCCTTTTTCCCCTTCGTTCGCGATACTTGCTCCTGGCCAGGACGATTACCGTAAGCGATCGTTTGTACACTCTCATCGTTTGTGCAACTCGATTCGAGCTAACAGTTAGGTGTACTCTCGATGGATTCAGAATATTACCAAGCTTCAAACGATTATTTCGTAGTCAGACACCATTAACAAGTACTTCTTAAAATTCTAATGAAAGCCAAGATAGCCGAGTACCCAGAAAGTGAGACGAAAATGAAAAAGAATCGATTGCAGCTTTTGAAAAACGAGAAAATTTGTCTAAAATTTTTAAAATTTCTTCCAATTCGAATTGATTTCGTAAAGATTCAGCATTCCACAAGCAAGTAGAGTTTCGAATATCCCAAGCACCATCAAGGATCCAACGAAAAAAGATTATGCTCGACAGATTACAAAATTTAAAAGATCGATAGCATAAAATTAGACAACCGCGTGCCCCATTGTTGTAAATTCTTCGTACGGAACGTTTGTTCCTTTCGAATTGTACCTGATTGCCGCCCTGGCGGTGACAGGGATATAAACCCACTGGCTGGTGCAGGTCTTCCGGTTTCCCTGGCGAGTCTATACATATGCTGCTAATGAGGTGTCTGATCTGAATCGACATTCAAGAAAATCGACGATTACTGCCTGTTATACGAACCGGTATAGTTACTTTTTTTGTTTCTTAATTTACGTTCAGAGATCTTACGAGTAGATTTCATGTAACGCCATCCTAGTTTTCTACATCCTGATCCTGAAGCAACGCGAAAACGTGAATGCGTTATCGCTGGACGTGCAAGCGTGATTAACGAGGTGTTAGATGGTTGGGTGTTTCTCTTTCCTCGCGAAAACTCGACTTCTGATCGTGATCTTATCGAAATCGCAAACGAAACGGCACGCGTCGCTGCGAATTATATTCTCTGCCTTGAAGTTCGATTTCGTGTGTACCAAAGATTTTCACGACAATAATAGAAGTACCAACGCGTTATCGTACGCTTCGATTGTGATTTTTGTCTCGAGAACATCTTTCTAACGTAGAACCCGTTTCAGCGAAATCTCGTTGCCAGAAAGCCGAAAACAAAGTCGAATTTTCGTGCGGAGCGCCAACACAAGCGAAAACAAACTGACAGGAACAAACGTCTGGCGTGTCTAGAATATGCCAGCGGGAGACAGGGTTCAGCATCCGTGTCTATTTGTACCTGATTTCCTCCCTGTCGATGGCAGGGGTAGAGGCCAGCCGGTTTGTGCAAGTCTGCCTTGCGTGCTGGCGAATCCAGACAGGTGTTGCCCCCCTCTCCGAGATTACGAACCTGTTCATTAGTTAGTATCATATATGGGATTAGTGACGTTAGCCTGGAACGTTAGTCAACACCGGGGAAACGAGTGGGAAATATTTTTGGATATCCCAGAAAATACTGCGTTCTTCCTCCATGTTTTCAACCCTTACTTTCGCAGTCGTGAATCTTTCAGTTGCAAAGCTCTTTCTGTGCCGATTACTACAATATATCTTGCATTATTTATTATTTTAATTTTGTAACGCATTGACTGCCAGATAAACCCCTCGAATTGTCCACGAAAACGAAACTACAGATTTCTTTTCTTCACCATCCAATCTTGAGAATTTTGTTAGTCCCTCGGTGGAAAATCGTGTCACTCATATGCGAGTGAAATATGGTAGTCAATGCGTTAAATAAATAAAATAACGTGCATAGATTTTTGCATCGAAAGAACCCACGATTGCTGGCAAGACAACCCTAACCCAGATCATCATGGTTACTTAAGTAAATTAACGTTTGGAGGCGCGCGATATTGTCTGGGACACTCCTGGCGATTGCGAAGCGGCCGTCGGTTCGTAAACGGCGAGAAAAATAAATCGAACACACCGCCGGCGAGAAAAATAATAGAATTATCTCGCGAAATATTTTCCGCGCCCGCGCGTGCGCCCCGTCGCGTTTCGCATCGTAAATATTTCTCCGATACGCCGGCAGCGGTGTTTCTCTCGGTGTTTACGGACCGACGGGAATATTCACAGCGACGAAATACGTTGGGCCGCGCCTGGAACAACAAGATACATAAATCAATACGAGCGTAACAATCGGATCGAGCCACCCACGCGTGCTCGTAAAGTTGTCGAACCGTCGAAAAAATCATATCGCGTTCGTATAGATTTTCTTTCCCCCTTCCGTTAAACGTCCTTCGTCGAATATTAACCCCTCGAACGTCAACATCCGGAGCGCCAACGTAAAATGATTTCTCCGACCCTCGACTATCGTATAATTTTATCTTCGCATTTCTCGTTTTAGATCTCTGATAAATAATAAATTATTGGAGCGTTGAATATTACCGTATTCACTGTTGTCTGATTAGTTGTAATCAGACGATGCAGCAGACAAAATAACGAGAAGAGTCGATATGTCTGAGAGAACTGTCTGCTTCGAAGAAAGTGCAATTGCACTTTTGTAGGTGCATCGTTGCACTCGTAAAAGGAACACGGACGTACAAAGGTTGGGCTTTATTTCACCGTTCGATGTGTATTCCCTACCATTTTGTTCTATTTACAGCGAAAGGAGTTTCCGTAATAACTATTAAAAATTGAGTAGATTGGATTTACCGCGAGAATAAAGACAATTGAATTTTATTGGTTATCAAAACAACAAAACCGTGACGTTTCGTTCTAGATCCGGTAGAGATCTTGGGGGATCTAGGCGATCCTCCGACTGGAAGGCACGTATGAGGTAGGATCCGCTGGAAAAGCCTTCCCGATGATTTCTCCGGCGGATTTGGGACGAAACGCCAGTCTTTCTGCCACGAAATTCTCGTTCGTTTGTTTACGCGATAGAACTCAGAAAATCCAAATTTTAATTGAAGTTACGGATAGTCAGTGATCTTTTCGACGTTCGACATCTTTGATTTTCTCGTAAAATGCACGATCACAGAATGCTTGCAGTCGACCTAGGGGAACAAGATTTCAACCTGGAGGCCACGACTATCATACTCGTAACACAATAAAACTAATTTAATTTATTCATTTGGCATCCCCCACAAAAGAATCGTTTTTCTCGTAACTTTACCCAAATATCAAGGAGTCTAAAGAGCGTGTTTCGTTATTTGACTGCATTTTTGTCGCGCCAGGAATGCCTTCCGCGAGACGGAAACAAATCGAAAATGAACCAAGTTTCCGTTTGGATCGCGAAAACACGCTCGCGTACCGGCGCAGCACACGTTTCAAGCGAACCGTGGTGTTCCTCCTGCGCCCGTCGTTGGCCATATGCACCGATGCATATGCACGTGCACGCGTGTATTCATGGAGGCGGGCGCATTCAGTCACTGGAGCACGGTCAGCAGTTCTGATTTCGCCGCATGCAAGAATTCTGTGGTCGCTGCAGTTTCAACGTGAGCATCTTCATCCCTTTCATCCTCTTATCCCCGTCGTCGTCTTCGTAGTCGTCGTCGTCGTGGCGTAGCTAGAATAAAAACTAGTGATTTATCGTCGGCGTTCAGGCGGTCCCGATAAAATTCCGAAAAGTCTGTCGACCCGATCCTCGTCGTCAGCTTTATTAGAGAGGCTCCTCTGCGCGGACTTAACAATTTCTACGAGCGACTTTCTCATCGAGTTCTATCGACTACGGGGGAAAAAGCTCGGTGAACAATCGCCTGGAAATTCCTCGAGTGTTGCGTAAATCTCCCGTCGAGGACGTTTTGTTTTCAATTCAATCATTTAAAATTTAAGCGAAACGAAACGGTGCACGTTTTGAAAAACGACTCGTAATTAAATCGTACGGTTGACCGGTGCAGCCCCGGCGTGATTTAACGGTGAGTCGAAGAAGGGATGGCCAGAGGCGGGGGATGAGTGGTGAATAAAAAGAGAGGAAAGCCGAGGTCGACGGGGAAAACATAAGTTTTCGAGCCGGCGGACGGGTTCTCGTCCGCGGCGAAATTGTTATTTCGCATACGGCGCGAACCACATTCCGAAGCGAGCGCCGCGTGAAATGCTTCTTCGTGAAAATGTCCGGCCATCCTTTATGCGCCTTTTCTTTTTCCGACGCCCCCTTTTTCCACTATTTACCCGCCGTAAGAGTTTCTGCCGCCCGCTCCGAGAGTGCTGGCGTCAGTGAGCGGGACGAAAAAATATGGCAAAACGCATTCCGGAACCGTTCGAAGGTGTGAGGGGCCTGCAGAGGATGCTCGCGGAGGCGGAAAACGGTTGATCGATACGATTTCTACAGTTTCGTTCCGACCCGACACTCGATTCTTTTCCGATTTTGCCACCCGAGGCTCGATAAAGGACACTGGAATGCGTTCTCGTCCGCTCGATTTCGTTTTTCGTTATTGTTGTCTTTGGGAAACTGGTTTACGGTGATTGGGTTTCGTCGCCTCCGATTTCCGCCGTTTCGGAATCACTATGAATATTATAAAACTGCGGATACTTCAAGTATGTGTTGCAGACAAAATTATACTCAATGGTGCTCAAATGATTTTTTCAAAGATCCATTTCTGAAATTTCATGGCGATTTTCAATTTATTTCAAGAAATATCTCGCTACATATTAAAGTTTGTTTATTAATTTTGATGGAGAAAATGTAAGTAATCCATTAAAAAAAAAAAAAATCAAAGCAGTCCAAGCATTATTAAAACCTGTCGTATTAGAAAAATAATACGAGTAAATATATCCGCGTACAAAATGAATCACGTGAATAATACCCAAAATATGTGTTTCAGACAAAATTATTCTCAATGTAGCTCAAATTATATTTTCAATAATCCATTTCTGAAATTTCATGGCGATTTTCAATTTATTTCAAGAAATATCTCGTCAGATATTAAGTTTGATTATTAATTTTGATGGAGAAAATGTAAATAATCCATTAAAAAAAAAAATCAAAACCTGTCATATTAGAAAGTGTTTTTACTAGTTAATTTTCGGAGCCTGCAAATATTTAAACTAAGCTTTTATATACCTAAACAATTAATTTGATTGCTTAAGTACTAACAATCTTCCCAAAATTATTTTCGAAGCGAGAAACTTGCAAGTTTATCTATCGTTACGATTTTAAAATATGTCTGACCATATAAGGTCAGTTACTACTTAAATTTCTTTCACTTTCATATTGTTTCTGTATTATGATTAGTTGCACTTTGCTATGTGTTTCTACACCTAATACGTACATTATTTAACCCTTAGCATTCCAAGAAATGTTTTCTTGAACTTCTTGAAACGAGTTTCTATACCCTGACGTTGAAGATATAATAACTTCTTATATCCTTGCGTTTCATCGAATAGTTATGTCTAGTATAACACACTAAATATAACTTCTCGTGGTACGGGCATCAAGATCGCCTTCTCGATAAAACGGGAACCCATTTTGTAACAGCAAAGAATATAATTTTTGACAGTTACGAGAAGTTATAGTATCCCGTTAAAAAATTCATTTTCACTCCATCTTGCTCAAACAACGTGGCACATGGAAACAGATGCACCTTCATCTTGTCGGTACTCTTAAGGGAGCACGTGTAAATCATGCAAGATTAAACCATCGTTCTTTTCGGAATGTCGTAATCAATCACGATCAAGAAAACAGAACTGCTCATGCGATATAACGGCCGAGTAACTGGTGTGCAGATTTTTACACATCAATCTTTTCAGACATTGTCAGCCTTTTAATAAAGGGCTCGGCTTTCAAAGGAAAGAAAAATTAGTCTTAGCAAATGAATATAAAATAAATCTCTGACATCGCGTGTTTAAAATTATCACTCAGAGGGTAGAGGATTTTAACTGTAACAGCTAATATGTATATTACTATTCTTGCAACACGTAAAATAATTCAATTATGTATCCGTGTCACGAACGTACAACTTCGTATATTAACGATAATATAATAAACTTCATTCGTGCAGAAAGGTTGCAACCCAAATAACAAAAGTTCCCCCAGCAGAGCAATTTCAAGTTTTTATGAAAATAATACTGGAAACTATTTCGTTCTCTGCGCTTGTTTCGAAAATGAGTTTTGAAGTTTGACCTTGTTCTTGGTGCAATTGAAGAAAATGTAGAATGTAAAATTTGCGATGTAAATGTGTTTGTAAAAGAACAAGTAAAATTGTACTGTAGATATTCGATATAATAATCTTGATTGATTTTAAATAATATTACCCAAATAAAGGGAGCCGCCGAAATTGTTACGAGAAACTCAACGTTTCGTTTATTAATCAATGGCGAAATTGATGGAAGAAAGAGGAGCGTGTAAGAAAGAACGAAATATCCAAGTCGCGTGATACTGTAATTTATGTGAAAGTGGGAAAGCCTTTAATCCGC